AACCCCCCTCCCTCTCCCCCCTCCCCACACGCACTCAGGTTGGTATCCCTGCTGTCCAGCTGCTTCACATCCACCGTGGGGGAGCTGCAGGTGAGTGAGGTACGGGGAGGGGCAGGGTCTTGGACAACACAAGGCCGGAACCCCCCGTGTAGCGTCCACTCGGACCCCAGGGCTAAGTGCCGATGGTCCTGACTTAACGTACGACCCAAAATTGTTGTGTGATTTTTTGTCCGGCTCGTGGTACTGTAGGTTAGCTTCTTTTGCCTTAGGTGGGCTTGGGACCCGGAAACGCCATTCCCCTCCTCCTTCCCCTCCTCCTTCCCCTCCTCCTTCCCCTCCTCCTTCCCCTCCTCCTTCCCTTCCTCGTCCGCCTCCCTGCAGCTCCTCTTCTTTCACCTTGCCTCATTTCCTGCCGGCTGCTATGCAGCGGCTCGTTGCGGCAGCCCTAGCTGACCAGATCATCCACGGGCCGGACACAGCAGCGCAGCCGCCGCCTCCGCCGCCTCGGGGAGTGGGTTCACCTCTGGCAAGTGAAGCAGAAGCAACTAGGCCAATCCAAGAGGAGGAGGAAGCAGCTGCAGCCCTGACGGGCGGGTGGGGCCGCCACGGCGGCGACGGCAGGAGCCCTGGCGGCAGCGGCAGCCGTGGCTCGGCGTTGCTTGCACACCTGGTGGCCCATGGGTCGGTCTGTTCACTGACGGCACACCACTGGCGGCAGCAGCAGCAAACGGAGCATCATTTGGCACAGCGGGACGCACCCCCTGAAGACCACCTAGGGGGGCCCAATGGTGGTGGTGGTGGTGCGGCGGAGGCTGTGAGCCCTGCGTGCGCTGGGGCCGTGCCGCCCTGGCAGCTGCCGTCATCTGCCCCGCCACTGCTAGTGCCCGGTCCGGACCTGGTCCACCATTTGGAGGCCTCAGCAGTGCTGGGTGGGGTGCAGTACGTGTACGTGGCGAGCAGGCTGTTCGCCGCGGCGGTGTGGCGAGCGCACCTGCAGGTGTGTTGGGCCGCAAGGGGCAGACCCGGGGATATGGGTTGTAAACCCTAACTCGCCCAGCACTCCTCCAAAACCCATACATGCCCTTACAGCCCTGGTTCGGCGGCTACTTGCTCTGCGTCCCGCTGCTGTCCCCGCGTTTCCTCCGCTGCCCGCCGCAGGACCATCTGCCCCGGGTGCTTGGCGGCTCCGGGGGGGGAGGCCAAGGCAGCAGCTCTGCGGCTGCGGCTGCTGATGCGGACAGCTGTGACGGGCAGTCAGAGCACGACGGGCTGGTGGGCGGATGGCTGGTGCGGCGGCGGCTGTTGGAGGCGGGAGCTCACTCACCCGGCATTGAGGTGCTGCGGAGTTTGCTTGGCAAGGATGCCTTTGTCAAGGTACCGTGTGGGGACTTGGAAACAGAGCCCGCTGCTGAAATACGGGCACCTGACACGGCGACGGCGCCGACGGCGGCGGCGGTCTCAGCGGTGGCGGCGTCGGAAGGAGAGGATGCTGGGATTAGGTTTTCGGAGGAGAGGACGCTGGGATTAGGTTGTGGGGAGGGAGGCCAGCGTGTCGGGCCGAAGGCTGGGTCAGGCAGCGAGGGGTCGTGGGGTGACGCGAATGAGTGGTCGAGTGGGAGTGCGGGTCCCTGGCGGTACGACTCGGGATGCTGCTGGGTGCCCGACCTGGGTGCGGACGTGTTCCAGGATGTTGACCTGCTGGGGTGATCAGGGGCGTGCGGCGTGCGATGAGCAGCGAGCGGTGCTCAGGGGCGCGGGCAACTGGACATGTAGCGATAAAATGATGTTGATGATGCTTACATGAAGCTTTTGGCGGAGGTCTGTGTAGGTACGCGTGCACATTCGGTACCATGTGGGCTGCAAGCCACTTGACTTGAAACTCCCGAAGGGGTGGATTGGGGTTAACATGCGCCGTTCCGACCTTGGATTTACCTTGGATTTACTGAGGATTTAGCTGAGCGTTATAAGGGGGTGGCCAGGTGGTTGTGTTGCCCAGGTGGTTGCCTAGCTAAGAAGAACCGGCATCTGTCATCCCGCCTAGGACAGGCATCTAACCGCTTTGGAAGTGTCAGGATTGACCAGACGGGTACTTCAAGTTGACTTTGCTACATATCCGCAAATTCGCAACTGTCAAGTCAGGTACATAACAGTGACGTTACGCAGCACTGCAACACAACCGGCAGCCAACCACTTTGCCAGGTCAGCGTCATACCACTGCTAGCTAAAGAGCTCTCAGCATCCGCTGGTAAATATCCCGTATGTGCACCGACTCGCTGCCCGAACTCTCAGTTACACTATATCCATTACCAGCTGTGACCGACATGGGCGATGCATTAACCAATTCTACGGCACCAACATGCTGATTTCCGCGCACACGACGATTCACCGTTGTGAGGCCGTTTGAGCCACCAGCCTTCCATAGGTGTGCCGCATGTAGCCGTGTACATAGACGGAAATGAAGCAGCAGCAGCAGCCACAGCAGCAGCCGGGTGGTGGTGTTCAGGTGTATGGGAGGTGGGTTTCATCCGTTTGAAGGCGGGAAAGATGATCCCAGCCAGGGCCCATCACATATCAGTACGTCCAAACCGTGCGCAGGACACACCGGGAACTTATGCCACGTACTTGCTGTAGTGGCACGGTCACCCAATCGAGAATGACAAGCAGGTTAAGAAGCGAAACTTGGTGATTGATCCTTCAGGGCGTTAAATTCCCCGCTTATGTTTGGCCTAGGTTTTGTCACATGCGGTTATGTCTTCCCTTTCCTTTTCTTCATCCTTTTACAGGTACAAAATTAATCCGCGTTGTGCGGTTTTCTACTCAAAATGAGCCTTTCGGGCCCCGCGCTCATACCGGGCAAGCTTTGCAGAGCCGGGGGTTATGCAATCACGACCATGCGAAGTAAGACACGGAGACACCTCTCAGCAGTACGAAGGGATATTCATGGCTACCACGCGTAATGAAGAGTCAACAGGTAGGTACGATAGGTACGATACGCAAAGAGAGGTGGTATGAGCAGAAACCGAGAAAATCCCCGATGCGATGCGCCCGCGCCAGTCGTTGAGTTTTCGGCTCCCGCCGCTTGCTGTTCTAGCTTTTGTTTGCAAACTAACGCCCACTCGGCGGCAAGGGGCCGCTTACATGCTCTCGGCCGCCCCGCCGCACACCTCTGCAGGCGACATGCCCACAAGGTTTTGCGCGAGTTGGAGCCCGGCAAGCGTGCGGGCCGAAAAGGGGGTGCTGCTGCAGGGGGCCGTACAAGCGGTGCCGCGTTATGTGTCGATATTGCCGGGGAACAGCTGTAGTGGAACAGATACTGTTTACCGTGCGTTGGTATGCTGTTGAAATTTGCATGCAAGCTGGCTGCAGTGAGCTGGCCAAGGAAGGGGTTGGGAAAAGGAATTTGCGGCGGCCTCTTTGCGCAGCTATATATTATCTGTGCATCCTCGGCTGCCGTGGTGGCCGCACTCTCAAGTCAGGGTACACAAGTATTCACCATGTCCAGTTCTTGTTGGCCACCAGAGGAGGTCTATCATGGCCGCAGATTACGCCCGTAGATAATTGCTTGCACAGGGCTAGGCCATATTGCTCCTGGCAGCCACCAAGCCACCAGGTGGCAGATGTACACCGTTAATAGACTGCCTCAAATTAATAGCTGCAGTTCCGCGCACAGCCGAAAGGATCAGCCACTCCGCCGGCTGGCCGGCCGGCCGGCCGGTATCTGACAATCGCAAGTGCATAATATGCAATTGGGCATTATCGTAAGTTTTGTACCAAACACAACTAAAGGAGAAGTAGCAAATGGTGGGGTAGGAAAGATAATTTTCAGGTTGTGTCGAAGCTGTTGACTTGACCAAGCCCGTACAGTAGTACGCCAAAGTATGGGACCAGCGGTGACAAAAGGGTTTCACCTGAAATTGTATGTATTAGTTTGTCACAAAAATGTCGCAAGCAGGTTCGCAAGCGCAGGGCTCACAGTCTGCTTCCTCCAGCAGCTCAAGTAGCAATATCCCGGTGCGTCAAGAGTGCAACATTCCAGGCAAGGCCCGATGGGTCCTTTGGCGAACTACGTTTGAAATAGACGAAAAATACCAACCTATCAAGGCAATTGGCAAGGGTGCTTATGGCGTAGTTTGCTCTGCAAAGAACTTACAAACTAACGAGAAGGTTGCTATTAAAAAGATCGGAAATGCTTTTGAGAACTTAACGGACGCACGGCGGACTCTGCGCGAGATTAAGCTGCTACGGCACCTGAAGCACGAGAATGTGATCGCCGTCAAGGTGTGTATGGACCAAGATTAGATAGATGCAGTAAGCAGCTTTACGGGCAGCTCACGGTATGCGGTGCCCACGGCCTGGTGGCATGTGTGTTCATAGGACATCCTCAAGCCACCGTCGAAGGACAAGTTCAACGATGTCTACTTGGTTTACGAGCTTATGGACACGGACCTTCACCAGATCATTCGCTCGTCGCAGCCCCTTACAAACGAACACTTCCAATATTTCATCTACCAGGTAGGACCCGGGTCACGCAGGGAAGCAAAATCGGTCCTCACATGGTGTTAACATCTTGTCCCCTTGCATCATAGGTGCTGCGGGGTCTCAAGTACGTGCACACCGCAAACGTGCTTCACCGTGACCTCAAGCCCAGCAACCTTCTGCTGAATGCATCCTGCGATCTGAAAATCTGTGACTTTGGACTGGCGCGAACCAGGTACACTTTTCGTGATGCCGCATGTGGGTTCCGCTTTGCAATCCCTGTCGTCCCATTTCTTCTACCATATGGCATGCTTGCCCATTTGCACGTGTTAACGTGCACGTGTGTATGGCTGACACACCTGTGGCCCCTTTTCCTGACCAGTGCGGAGCAAAACAATTTCATGACTGAATACGTCGTCACGCGCTGGTACCGCGCGCCCGAGCTGCTATTGTCATGCGAGACGTACAACGCCGCGATCGATATGTGGTAAGAGGATGTGACACTGATGCGACTACGGCAGCCAAGAGGTTAGGAGGCCGAGTAAATGTCTATATCCGTCTGTAGGTCGGTAGGCTGCATCATGGCTGAGCTGCTTGGCCGCAAGCCGCTGTTCCCGGGGAAAGACTACGTGGACCAGCTAAAGCTCATCATCAAGACACTAGGTCCGCCGTCGGAGGACGACCTCACGTTCATCAGGAGCCAAAAGGCGTGCGCCTATATCAGGGCGCTTCCACCTTCCGAGGTGCGTCTGTACCCTTAGGAATACGTGTCTTCAAATCCGTTACTGCACGTGGCTCAACGCTGTTCCAACAAGTATCCTTCATTTGTGCTATGGTTGTTTCTTGTGTTCCCCGGTGCAGAAAGTAAATTTCCGCAGGAAGTTCCCAGATGCGGATCCACTGGCGATTGACTTAATGGAGAAGATGTTGCAGTTCGACCCACGCAAGCGGATCGACGTGCACCAGGCGCTCAAGCATCCCTGGCTGGCGCAGTTGCACGATGAGGCAGCAGAGCCGTGCGCACCGGGTAGGTTTGGGGTTATCAATATTGTCGACTGCGTACTCCGTCGAGAGGTTGCGTGGGGCATTGATGTATTAATTGTTCAAGCTAGATTTTACCCTTGTTGCATCAACGCGGTTGCATCTGTGCCTAATGCCAGTTTCCTCCGCTGCCTTGGAATGCAGGTGAGTTCGTGCTTGACTTTGACGAGGCGAGCCTTACAGAGCAGAATGTGCGTGAGCTTATTTACGAGGAGTTAATTACTCACTATCACAGCTGAAGTGTTTCGAGGTTTTCACGCATTGGCAGTTTCACGCATTGAATGGCGTGGGAGGCACCGGTGAAGCGCTTAATTATTTTAGCAGGGTGTCGCGTGCGGACAGTGCCATGGCACTGGCTTTTCTATCGGGAAAGTGATAATAATTATTCCAAGACTTGTCCTGTTGCACTTACACTGGCGTTTGTATCGGCAGACATTAGACGACCCATTCGAACACTGGCATTTCGTGACGTGACATTTAGAAAGGTCATTCTCGCAAGCGGATTTAGCTCAAGAGAACCCATAGCATCTAACATCCATACATCTGTGTCGTACATGATATCTAACTGCCGGTGATGAACATATCGCATTAAGCACTTTAGTTCAGAAGCTGGAACGACCGGATGGTCGTCTGAAGCTTCTCCTTCATCTTGTCCCAGCGCCGCTCGTTAGCGCCTGTCGTCAACGTGTAGAATGTTCCTACACGGAAGACGGGACATGGAAGACGGGAATGCCCATGTAAGTAGAGCCAAGGAGGGCAACTTGCGAGTCAATAGCGGGCTGTAGAGAGTGTGCGACGCGCGAAGGATGATTCGCTAGATTGACGAATTTGAAGGGTGTTTTAAAGGTGGATGTAACAATACGACGCGCTTACCGTTGTTGCAGGCCACAACCGCCAGCTGGTGACGAGTATAACGTGGGTTAGAAGCCGTGAACTCGAGCTCGTAGTAGTTATGCCCCTTAAGCTCGCGCTGCAATGACAGAATGCGGGATCCGTAAAGACGGTGTCTTGTCAACCGCGCACTTAGGGGCTCCGAAATGCGAAGGCGCCACGAGACGTTTGGCACGCGCAACACCAAACGGTCAGCAGGTAAATTATGGAGGCTCACCTGGTTCGTGCTAATAAGCTTCACCTCTGTACCCGGAGCAGTTAGCACGTCCCTAGCCAGAGTCTCGGCTACCTGCAACAAGGAAAATTGACGGCTCGTTGCAGGGGAAACCGAAGTACGGGACCTGGAAGCCATAACGGGAGATCATGTCCGTGCTTCCAGAACAAGTGCAGAGGATTGTCACTCACTGCCGGCGACGGTCAGCAAGTTGCCGCATCGGACCCCCTCACACCTTGATCCATTCTGCAATCATCAAGCGTCTGTCTACCCACCGTCTGTAGGTCCCCAAACTCCGCTATGTCGTTTTTATCCGTAGCAGTGAGCGTCACGCTGACGCTCTCAAGCGGCTCAACCACATCCTTGTACACCACGTCAGCCCCCTGCACGGCGACCTCCTGCCACCCGAACGGATACAAGAACTTGTAGGCGTCTTGAAGGTCCTCCACCGGGCTGAAACCCTTGGGAGCTGCATAGAGGAATACCGGACCCGCCGTAATGAGGATTCTCCAGGATTGACATTGCACAAACTCTTTGAAAGCCTCACCTTTGGCAGCGAAAGCTGGCGATGCTGACAGGAGCACCGCAGCGGATGCCGCTTGCAGAAGCTCACGGCGCCCAATTTCGCCTGTGCATTGCACTTCTGGATTAACATTATAACTAAAACGGTGCAACACTTAGCGCCAGCAGCGCAGTTTGACTGAATGTTGCTCACCAGACGTCGCGTAGCACTGGACTACGCGATTGGACCTCGGCAGTGATCGCTGGCACTGAAACGCACGAGCCGATGCCTGAAGATGATAAAAGCACAACTCTATTATGCGAATGCATAAGACGAAGCCTACGAACCGATTCCTTGAGATAACCAATCACCTGGCGAGAAGAGCAAGACGCTTTCAAAGCCATAATTGCTTTGATTAAAAATACGTACAACTATTGGGAAATGATGATACAACTGTTCAGTATCTGCAACTATAGACCGGCATCTTGCTAGCTCCAGAACCCGTTCTATGGCCGTGCTAACAAGCCACTATCCAACGATCCCCAGTCTCAATGCGATGTTGCGTTACACTATGCATATTTGCTGTATGTAGGTTGGTATACTGGCACCCACATGCTGGTAGGTACTTACATTGGTCGCTAAGTTCGTGGCATCTTTGTTTGGCCATATCCTACCTGGAATGCCTTGCATTCTGCGTAGTGAAGCTCTACATCACAGGTTAGAGCTCTATATCTCTCCAACAAGGCGGTCGAGTTGGTAGCTGGACCAGCCCTGTTCCCGGGGACTATGTGCGGCGGACAGCTTTATATAAGTTACAGGACGAAATCCTACCTATCTCGACCCTACTCTGCCCATGGCGCCAAACAACGGCTGAGACAGGTTTGCATACCCTGCTTAGCGCCTGCACGCCCCTCACAGGTTAAGAAGAAAATGCTGCGCGAAATACGCTCCTTCGAAATACACCCAGGCCTGGCAAAACCCCATCAAGCGAGGCAGATTGACACCATTTCACAATTGCATATCATATATGTTGGAAATGACCGACACTCATATACCAGTGAATGGTAGCCACAGTAATAGGACCCGACGGGGGTCCGGCGCTTTGCTGGTCTTAACAGGTTATGAGCCCCGAATGGCGCATTGCGCTGCCGAGAGGTCGCCGGATCGATACCCACTGGCTGTTGACCAGAGAATGGGAGACCGGGATGAGGCACGGGAAGGCCCGTAGCGAGAGAGTGTCGCTCACGGGGGGGTGTTGGAAATGACCGACACTCATATACCAGTGAATGGTAGCCACAGTAATAGGACCCGACGGGGGTCCGGCGCTTTGCTGGTCTTAACAATATATTTAAATATATCACAATAAAACTTAACACGTATGTAACACGGGACTACCTTACGGCAGTTAGCCTACATCCGAAACCATGGCAAAACACCTTGGGCACCAACGCCAGTAGCCGGTCCCAAGGACCCTGTACAGCTGCAACGCTCTTACGGCCCGATAAATGACTCCCGGCTACCCGAACCCCCTGCGCACCCCCTGCGGACTACTGCCTGCTGGCCCTAGCCTTCACGTTTCGCAGCGCACGACACCACCCATGTGGTGCGATCCTAGTTCGCTGCAAGCATGTATTGGCGCGCCATTGCAGTATGAGCATCTTGCCATAAAGCATCCTGCCAGTTTTAGTTGGGCGGAAGCTTGCTGCGGCTTTCCTTCAGCCCAAACTGTGAGACGCCGAACTGCAGGCGCATGCAGGTGTAGGGGACAGGCAGCACCGAGCGGAACGTCGGTCAGCGTTATGCGCCAGGAAAGACCTCCCTCAAGATGGACAGGTTTCTTTCCTCAATATTTAACGTGGGATAAGCAATCCAACACTGCAGCTCAGCAGGCCTTGGATGGAATGCACTTCAGATCCTCGGTCAGTCAGGTGATAGTATGCTAACCTGTTCAAGCGTGTGACGGGAGCCGTACACCCGACTGCTTGTTTCCAGCGCCATATCGTGGTTTCTGCAGAGCACGCGTGTGGAGCAAAGTCAAGTATTTACACGGCGAGATGCGGGAGAAGGGACGAACAATTGCATCCAAAGTTGCGGGAATAATTCGGGCCCAATACAACAGGATTACGTTAATGCACGAACATTCGGTGCGTGGCCGCAGACAGCAGTTCCATGCAAACTATGCCATCACGCACCCTATGTAATCCATACGCTTGGAGTGAGAATAGAGGGTCGCCTGTAGGGCTGTCGTAGGCCGGCCTCCATTGAGGCTGGCGGTTTCGAGGTACTCCCGTTCCTGCAAGAAGCAACGCGTGTGTATTGACCAGTGTGCGGAGCCTCTGCAGCTCCATCCGGGCGTTGCTAACAAGATCAGGGATTGGGACCGGCTGCCGTTCATGTCCGAAGAACGCTAAAGGTTGCGTGCTCAGCGGTAAAGGAGGGGTGCGTTCACCCAGGGCGGAGTACTGTGAGAAGACCCTGACTACTAAGTCTACCGCTGCCAGGTACGCAGCTGGCATACCTGTTCGACGGCTCTTTCCGCGTCGCGCCCAACGAGTGGAACCTTCTTTTGAAGTAACGTGTACTCCCCGCGTCCGGTGAAGTACTTGACTGTCGACCTCGCATGCGGCGCCTTCAGCTGAAGAACCAAGGAGTAACCGTTTTAGCCAAAACCGTAATATCTGACAGCACAGTAACATTAATTTACGTTGACTTACATGGTCAGGTGTTCCTGGCGACGTCAGGAAGCCCCACTCCTGCTGGAAGTTCTTTGCAGTTGTCTGCTCATGGCTGTGGCAATGGAGTCAAGGATAGCGCGAACTATCTCATCATTCAAACATTACTGGTGTAGCTGCCCAAAAGGGTTTCAGGGCAACTTAGAGGCAACGGTTAGGTTTGCATGCCGCGTGAACGCCGTGATGTGCAAAGTTTATCCATCGCGGGAACCACAACCTGCTTACTTTACACGAATGCGCCAGTTTTCTGCATCTGTGACGGCCATCGCATCCGCTCCGGTTGCTGCTGAATTTGCCATGGGTAAAAGGTGATAGTGTTCTACCTTTCAAAACCAGCACCAGTTATAACACAAATTGTGGTTTACAAAGGGGCTAACGAGCTTCTCTTCAATTCGCTACTGAGTGTACTACTCTATACTATCTGACGACTCCTGCAGGCTTTACAGAGGAAACAGCGTAAGAGACTTATAAGCGAGAGTAACTTCGTATACTCGTATGCTACTGTTAACTAAAACCCGCACCACGCAAGGACTTCCGACCTACTCGTACGGAGAAGGATTCTGTTGGATCCAAACGGACAACAGGAATGCTTTCCGCGGAGAAGGCAGCTTGTAACGATTAACAAATATTCCAAAGATTTAAAGCCAGGCCTTTCTGCTTCATTGGAGACGCATATTTCAAACGGGAACCAAAACTGAATCCGCGCCTCAGGCTTAAGGCTGACCACACTTCCAACCACTTGTGCTCGACAAGACGAACGACTAGTCATGGACAGCCCAAGCGGCTGGCAACTTGAACAGGACGCGCTTCCAAGCACTTCAGCTTTTGTTGCACCCGGACAAGAAAACCTTTTCCTCCTCCAGAGCCAATGCCTCGACGGGTATGTCATCATAATCATCTGACATTTTTCCGCTACAATCCAACCTGACCATGAGCTTGGTGCCTCCCGACTTCTGCGACAGCAGCTCCCCAGGTCCACGCCGAGCTGGCAGCTTACCAGCTAGCCCAAGCCAGCTCCACACCGTGCCGCCAGGGCCGTTTCCTCACGCTGCATACCCCGGTCTACCCATATGCTTAAGCAGTCAGGACCCGCCTACTCAAGCGGCGTCTAGCCCTGCGAAACACGCTCAGCCCTTCCCGCACATGTACCAGATGTCAATAATGGGGCAGCAGCAGCACCTGGCTGCCTTAGATCTCGCAGCGGCGGCTCACAGCCCGAGCGGCGGTGCGCTGCAGACCTCCCCCTCGCGCATGTTGCCCAGCCCTAATTCCGGAATGCCCTTGCACGGCGCCCAGCACCCGTACCTGGGTTACGACGCCGGCATGCAGCAGTACTGCTCACAACACCCGCAGCGCCTGCATCCCCCGGGGCAGCAACACTCCTCCGTGCACGGCCTTGTTCCGAGTTTCCCTGCAGCAGCAGGACCCGGAACCGGTAGCGATGCCGTCGTAGCGGGCAATCAGCACCAGAACCATCCGTACAACATGGCGCCCTATGGATATTTTCCGCCGTATGTACAACAGCAACCATTATCCGGATCGCCCCTCGGCCACCACCAGCAGTTCCTGGGTCCGCGTACCAGTGTCCCGTACGGAGCCCCATTCGCTTCCCCACCGCGGCACGTTTCTTCCCAGCAGTCGCCGCCCAATGGTGGCGGAGGCGGCGGGGCCGGCATGGGGCAGCAGCAGGGGGGCCCCCTCCGGCACAACGACACTGCGGCCATCGGCCCGCCGGCTGACGGCGCTGTATATGGCGCCGCCGTGCAAGCTGCGAGTGAGGGAGGGCCGCGGGGGGCCGTTGCTCGGGAGGGGGCCCCTGCGGCGATCTGGGTTGGGGACCCCAACGCAAGTGGGCATAACGCGCCGCACGGTGCGGGGCCGGCGGTGGCAGCGTCGCCGCCGGCGATGGCAAAAGCCGCTCCCAGCGGTGGCGTCATGGGCTCCCCGCAGGGCCCTACGCTCGGCGGGTTTCTGGCGGCGGCAGCCGGCGGCAACGCTTTGCATGGTGCCGTACGCCACGTCGTGGACGAGCTCCGGACGAGCCCGTTGATCCTGCCGTCGGACTACGACACTCCTGGCCGTGGCAGCATCGGTATCACGGGCGGCGGACGAAGCACGGGTGGTGCAGCGTATGGTAGTGGCGGCGGCGGGGGAAGCGGCGAGAAGAATGCGGCGATACAGCGTTACCAGGTATATGCCTTGGAACCCGGTTCTCTGTTGCATTGTGCGCTTCCACGACCACAGGAAGTCCCTACTTGGGCCCCTCGGGGTTGGGTAGGTCTCTCCCATCCGACTGGTCATTTTGGGTATGACTGCCTGCGGGGACTGTCTGTTCTTTTTCCTCCCTTCACAGTCCTGCTTCGCTTGCTGTTCGTTGTTGTCTCTCTTGTTCTTCATTTCCTTCCCTGGGCATGTCGTGCGTGTCTGTCTGCCTGTCTGTCTGTCCGTCTATCTGTCTGTCTGTCCTGTTGCAGCTTTGCCATTAACCGCCGCAGAGTGTGTAATGTGTGCGCTCCCTGGCACTGCGCGGCTCAGGCCCAGATCGTCTCCCTGGAGCGTCAGAACGCGGAGCTGCAGAAGCGCCTGACGGACACCCAGTCCGCTCTGGAGGCGGCTCGTCAGGCCCGTCAGGCGCTGGAGGCCAAGCAGGACGCCATGGCGGACCAGGTGGCGCAGGTGACGGAGGGAAACGGGGGGAGGAGGGGGGAATGGTGCGTAAATCTCCGGGAATCTCCGGTGCTGCTCACTTAGCGCCCACAACATCGACCACCCGAACCCGCCACCAATCCCGCTCACAGCCGCCGCTCCTGCACCTCCACCATTGCTACCATGACCAGCACCGCTACTAACCCCACGCCACCACCAGGCCAACCACGGCGCCAAGTCCCGGGAGAGTGCCTTGGAGAGCGCCCGCCGAGCCAACGACGCGCTATCCGGAGAGCTGAGGTCGTGTCAGGATGAGGTGGCGGCGCTGCGGAATGCCCTGGCGGCCGCCAAGGACACAGCGGTGCAGTGGCAGGACAGAGCTATGGAGGTGGGCAAGGAGCTGGAGGCAGCCAGGAAGAAGGTAATGAGGCCGCGAGGGGAAGGGAGGGAGGAGTTCTTCGGGGCAATGTGGGGGGGTTATCCGGGGGAATGTCACACTCCTGCTGATTGCGGGCCGTGGAAGGAGAAGCAGAACTGGTTTCGGGGCTCCTCGCCCCGGGATGAATTAAGCACTCTCAGCGCAGCGTGTATGAGGGAGCAACCGGTGCTCGGAGGTGGGTGGGTGCGGCGAAGGAGGGGCGAGGAGGGGAGGGAGGGAGGGAGGGCGGTGTGGTATGTCGGTATGTTCCTTTGCTGCACTTCCCCTACACACACACCGCACTTTCCTTGAGCCTTCGTCGTACCATCCCCGCTGGGCCCCCTGGCTCTCCTGCACCCGCGCCCTCCGCCGCCTCTGACCCAGATCGAGACTCTGGGGGAGGAGGAACGGCGACTGAGCTCCGAAAACATGGCATTACGTAAGGAGGTACAGCAGCTCAATGACGTCATCATCAAGGTGAGCCACAGCACACGGAGGAAGGGATGGGGAAGGACAGGCGCACCCGAACACGGGGGGCCCCACCGAATACGTTACCGCGGACCACCACGACCACCAACAGCACATTTGTAAGGAAGTCACAGGCTGCAGAGTGGACGTGAATGCCGGGGAGTTAAGGAACCTGCGATAGGGCCCCGTGGTGCGGTAGGGGCGGTAGGGACTGGGACTGGGCCGCCCCTCAGAACGGCGGCGCGGCGCTCCCTTCCCCCCCCGCTAGTCCCTCTTCCCCCAACCCTCCGACCCCTCGGGTGATCTGCCTGCTGGGCTGCAGGGCCGTATCGAGTCCGCCGAGCTGCGGGAGAAGCTCCGGAGCTCCCAGCAGGATGCCGCCCGGGCCGCCAGTACGGCACAAGCACTGGCCAGCCGCGTGGAGAGCGAGCACGAGGGCGCGGCCGTTCAGATGACCGTGATGCGGAACAAGCTGTCGGGTGGGCGGCTGTCGGGGGAGGGAGGGGAGAGGGCCGCTTGGTCAGCGCGACGCGGCGAGGGGGCGGCCAGGGGGGCAGTTGAGGCGGCCAGCGGTAGCGGCGCTCTGTGGATGTCCCTGTGTGCAGCCCCCCCCCCGCGGTGCAGTGGGCGGAGGGAGAAGGGGGGGAATAACGTTGGTTTGGAACACCTGGTGGCTGGGGGAGATCTGACAGTATCTGTACATGTGTGCGTATGTTTGTAGGTATGTAGGTATGTGTGTGATTTTGCGCTGTTCACTTCACGCTTGCGTGGCACCCGCTGATACTGCTCAGAGCTGGAGTCCCGCAACAGCCAGCTGCTGTACGACGTTTCGGGGCTGCGGGAGGAGGTATCGCGGGCCCGGCAGGCGGCGGATGCGGCCAAAGCGGCGCTGGCGGCTAAACCGGTGGGTGGGCGGGGGTGGGGGTGGGGTGCGGGAGCGCAGGGGGAGGACTGATGGCGGAAACCGGAGAGCTCGGGGCCGTACTGTGGGGGTGCTGGGGACCCGGGGTTGTCCACATTGGATGTCGGGGTCTATTATTATTATTGTTGTTATTATTACTAGCATCAATTATTTTAGTTATTATTTAGTATTAAGTAATAGTATTGTTATAGTATTGTTGTTGATGTTATTCGGGGTATTGCAGGCGGGCATTGCGAGCGAGGGAGTCGGCAGCGTGCGACAGCAGCAGCACCACCACCACATGAGCGGCGCTACGTCAGCGGGCTGGATGGGGCTCGAGGCGCAGCAGCCCTCGGGCAACAGCATAGCGCCGGGCCTCGGCCTCGGGGGCGGCAGCGGCAGCGGTGCCTACAACGGCGCAAGCTACGGCGGTCCGTACGGCGGTAACATAGGTAACGGCTACAATGGCGTCGGCAGCAGCGTGGAGTACAGTGGACCTGGCTTTGGAGCCGCAGGTTTTGGTGGAGGGGGCCCCAGCGGGAGCGTCAACGGTGGGGGCAGTGGCACCGCCAGCGGAAACGGAGGCGTCGGAGGCGGCAGCTTTTCCCAGCGGCCGCCGGCGGCCCTGCCACCGCCGCCCCAGCCCGGCTCCTTTCCATCTTCTCATTCTGGGCAGGCCACGATATCGGCTATTTTACGCGACCTGCCGACGGACATGGCGTTCAGTAAGCTGGATCCGGAGACGTTCCGCAACATGGTGCGCGCAGAGGCGGAGGCCATGGGCCGCGGTGGAGGTGGCGGCGGCGGCGATGGCCTGTACAGCGCGGCGAGTTCGCCGCTGAAACCCTCGTATGGGACGAGGCACGGTGGCGGAGGCGGTGACTTGGGAACTGTGCCGAGTAGCGGGGCATTGGACGGCGTGGCGCTGCTGCCGCCGCCGCCACCACGGCTGGCCTGGGGAGATGGTCCGGGACGCGACCTGGCGGCAGCACCGCCGCCGCCGCCGCTGCCGGATGCTCGGAACATGTGGCGGGCGCCACCCCCCTTGGCGGATGAGGGGGGCTTTGGCGGCCGTGGCGGCGGCGGCGGCGGTGCCTCCAAAGCCCCGAATACAGGTGCTGCCAACAGCAGTTACGCAACTGGTCGTGGAGTAGCGCCGCTGCAGGGCAACGGCGGCGCGGGAGGTGGCGGCGGCAGCGGCGGCTCGCCACCGCCGTACGCTGTGAACCTCGTGGACAACCCGTATGCGCACCGACGACCGGCTAACGCTGTTGGCACTGGCGGGGCGCCGCCTGGTGGAGGCATGGGTAGCGGGAACGGCGGGGCGTACAATGGCGAAACGCCGTATGGTACGGAGGAGACTGTCAAGGTGGGTGGGCAGGGCCATGAAGCCTCTTACCGGTCTACGGCAGTCAGGGATTAGCAAAATTGGGGGGTGTCAGAATTGCGACGGTTTGTGACGACGTGGTTGGGCGTTGTGGTCGTTGCATCCCTGTCGCATCTCTGCCACATCCCCCCTCCCACATCCTCCCCCCTGGCGCAACCCCCGCCCAGGATATGATTGCCCGCAGCAAGGCTCTCGAGGACAAGCTGATGGTGCTGTGCTCGGAGAAGGGCGGACTGGAGGCCGAGTACGCGCGCATGCCGCTGGGGGCGGGTCGCAGCCTTCGAGAGCGCAACCGCAAGCAAGTGGTGGAGCAGCGCCTGGAGCTCCTCAACAAGGAGATATCCTCCGTGCGAATGCAGCTCAAACGGCTGGGGGTTAAGTAAGGGGGACAAAGGTAAAACCTGGTGGGGTGGCATGCGTGCATGTGTGCTGGCAGGGAAAGGCGGTCGGGCGATGCGGTTCAGCGATGGGCCAGGGCGTGCTGTCGTGTGACGGGCGAGAGGGTGTATGCCTTTGCTATGGCGGGCGGGGGGGAAGTTGTCCGTCCGGGAAGCGCCGCGGCCAGCGCAGCGCAGCGCGGCGCGGCGCGGCGCTGTTCGGAGGCGGCTTTTTGGGGGAATTGGGTCTTATGAGTTGTAGCTGAGCTCGTAGGAAGGTCCGTGGGAGGTGAGGTGCCGGTCGGTCGGCCTCCACCTTGGCCGCAGCAACAGTTCCTGGAGAATTCCGTGTGAGGGGGAGAACGGAGCTTGCGTGGGGCGGTTGCTGGGTTGAGCAGGAAAGCTGGACCCGGACCCGGACTGAGTCGTCGGGTGCGGGGTGCCGCGGGCCTCCCCGGAGATGGACCGGGTGGGGTACGCGGGAATGTGTCCTGTGGGGGCGAGGAGGGCTGAACCTAAGCGGCGTGTGAGCCCCACCACCGCCAGGGAAGCTCGGAGTCGGGGGTTTTAGGGGTTTCACGACACCGGAGGGGAAAATGCAAATGAGGGTGGGGAGATGTCGCGAGCGCTCGTCCTCCACACGCGTGGGCTTGGACCCGCGTACCGGATGGCCCCTGTACGCGGTGCTACGGCTGCGGCTGTAGCTGAAACTGGTTACTGCGCGGGCAGCTGTTCGCCGGAGGGGGGTTAGCTGTTAACGCGCGACTGTGGCATTTGCTGGAGCTCCGCAGCGCCGCTCGAGGCCGTAGGAGCCGCCGGCCATGTCGGGACGGATGTGACGGCGCACCAGTTGAGGAGCTCTCACATTGCAGTCATATTTTTGCTAAAATATGGCCTAAACTGGGCCTTGGTCTGAACCATGCTGCGCGCGACGGTACGTCACTTTGCTCAGGCGCCTTGCTGTACATAAGGATGCTGTTCAATGCCGCGGCGCATGAAAATGTTGTATTAAATGTCTTGCTTAACGTAGGGCAGTGGTAAAGTTGTGTTCGCGTCCGGGCGCCCGGTATCTCGAGTGTCCGAGCGTCCCTCAGATTGTGTGGGGATTGGGGGTTTGGTTGTACATGCCACAGTCCGACTGCTGTCGGTACGGCCCCGCTCTGTGCAGCCACGGCAGATGTTCGTGGCAAGAGACGTAAAAAGGGGAGTAGAGGGAGGGAGGCTGACGTGCGCAAACTCCGATGAGCGATGACTGGCGTCGCGACCCCCAACTCCAGAAACCAGGCTACTTGGCAAGCGCTCTTCTCAGTCTCTACATAAGATGGCAGAAAACAAAAGCTGCGTGACGTTCCCCCGGCCGTACAGCCTGATCGCCTGATCTGTACGTGCCCAGCCGTAACCCGAATTGCCAATGAAAATACTTGTCAGCCTCCCCCAGTATTGTGTTCATCTCTCCTTGCCGCACATGGTCCTGACCAGTGCCCTTTTTGTCGTCACAATGAAGTCCCATCCACCACGTCAGAAGTCTGAGAACATCAATCAATATCGTCATCATGATCAGTCTGGATATGAATATGTCATGCATGGCATCACCCCATGCGGGTTGCATGAGCCCTCCCTCAGTTGTCCCAACGGAACTGTAGGACCATTGGTTCATGACTGCAGCCCACACCGCACTTGTCCAAGCCGGACAGCGCAAAAACGATTACCAGCCACGCACACGGCCCTGGTCAGAGTAGTACCGTGCGGGGTGCGATTGTCGTTACCCGGTCCCCATCATCAAGGCCATGAAGCGCATGAAGTCCTCTCGACGGCGATGACGAGCCAAGACGACGACACCAACCCCTGCTCCCGCTCGCGTTCCCCTCCAACAGGAAATCCAAAGGAGGGCGACAATATTTCGCGTCCGCCCAATGCAGCCATTACAAAAAAGCAATGTGATTCCAGAGTGAACAAGAACTGTACGCCGGAGCTCTCCTACCCCACCCCGACAAGCTAGCGACACCTGCCCACGGCCCCAACCAGGGCTTAAACCAGGAGCGGAGGAGGCTCCACCAGGCCGTGTAGCTCGACCAGGCTGCCGCAATAAGTAACGAACGCATGCTTTCATACGACATGGCGCAGCACGCATTAGCCGTCATCGCGCCCACCGCGTCCCTCCATTGGGTTCCTCAATTCCTCGTTCCACTTCTCTGCACCTCTCAACTTCCGCTGACGCACACGCACACACACACATGGCGGGCACAGCGGCACGGGCTTTTGATTTTTTCGGTTCTAGGTAGTTATGGACGGCCGCCATCCCCTACCGGGGGGAGCCTTCCGCGTCTGCGCGGAACACGCCCGCCAAGCCCTCCGGGGCTTCGGAACGCACCGAATCATCATGGATCGGGGAGTATAGCACCCACCACCCACAAACAGCAGCATCACCTGCCCTCTTCATTCCGCAACACACACGGAACATGGCCGCGTGGATGTGACCGTGCAAGCGCATGGCCGGACAGTCGGCCACATGACAGTAGAGCCACCGTGCCTGGCTAGGCAATCGTAATGAACAAAGAAGTACATAAAAAGGCCGTCACGAGCTCTGGCGCGTTATAAGGCCACCACAATGTTGTACCCAAACTCACACCGAGACACACACACCATCCACAAAGTCAATATACGAATTTCCCACTTGAACGCACACCCAAGGAAAATGCCCCCACCCATAAAATTCTCCCCAGCGGGACTCACCACAACACTGCACCCGTGAAGAAGGTAATCACTTGGCAGTGCACGCACGTCGATGGGAAGGGCACGCGAGAACTCGTGTAATCCGCACGGCACGCTGCACGTCCCGGGTCGCTCCACACCACCGCATGGCCTCACCAGCATTTCGCTGTGTTGCGACGGAGGACTGGGGGACTGCAGGCCCAGCTCCTGGCAGCACGGAGCGCTCAACCCTAGGATCCACCCCTTGGCATCCACCAAGCCATCCTCACAAGCCGCAACCGCCCAGTACTCTTCCGGCCGTCTGTAGCTGTCGGAGACAACGCAAACAGGACGGCTGTTTGCCTTGTACAGTTGTTAATGTTGATGTTGATGTTGTTCCAGTAGCAGCACCAGCAGCTGCACGCGGTCCTTTTGGTCGCCGCTGTCCCTAAGCGGCGTCTCAACGTGCGTTGCGCGAAAAGATGCGCGCGCATGTCAGTGATCAATGTGGAAACATGTAACTGCTCACATGTGCTTGTGTGCCGCGCGCGCGAGCCGCTCTCGTGCAGCACGTCGCTCGTCCGGTGGAATATCACCGCCAAGGCTCTCTCGCAGAAGCCGTGCAGATGCCTTTCCGTGCAATAGCACGTAATCAGTTCAGTACACGTAACTAAGTTAAGGTCGTCGGTCGCGTGATGAGGACGCGCATATCCGCAGTTCCGACACAACAACGCATGCATTCACCTCTCCACGCACCCGCCCCACCACACGAATTACGAACACGGACAACTGGTCATCTTTTACCTTCAACCACCCACCCAATGAAAACCCCACAAACCCCACATACAACAAGAATAGTCTCAGACCAGGCGTACGTATGGGCCGCAATGCATTCCATCTCGCTCTTTCATTCATTCGTTGTGCCATAATGCGCTCCATCCCCCGGGGCCCCCAAACAAATAGAAACGCTGGGATCACCGTCGCCGTGCAGGTGACCTCCGGCGTGCAGGTGACCTCCTGCACGTCGGGCTTCCACATCCCGGCTTCCCCCACCCACCCCGAGGGACCTTACTGCGGTACCCCGCCCATGAGCCGCTGCTCCCTAAGCCCTGATGCGCGTACCCTGCCACCAGTATACCATACTTGCAGTCCGCGCGCACCTAAAAGCTATCCAAAGTAACCCTCACCCCACCCCGCCCCGCCCAAAGTCCAGTCCAGAGTTGCAGCCGACAGCCACCAAGGCGTGACTGCATAACAGCATATCCACAGCGCGGCGCTGAGGGTTGCTACTGCTACTGCTGCTATTGCTACCGCTGCTGCTGCCCCTGGGGTACCTCCGTTCATGCCATCGCACAGATCTCAGGTAACCGCGGAGCTCGGGGCTCCCTCCACCTCTCGCCTCCTGTGGTCTCAACAGCGGTTGCTGCCCGCCCCTTCACTTCACTTCATCTCACTTATCACCCAGCAGCCTTGACAGCACCTTATCCAGGTCTGGGTCGCTGTTAACCAGCGCGATGAGCTCATCGTCCGTCAGGCGTGTCAGCCGCATGCGCTCCTCTGCTGTGAGACCCCGAGACATAGGGCCCAACACCGGGTCCGGGCTCGCGGCCGTGGCTGCGGCCCCCATGACGGTGGGTGTGACAACACTTGACCTCCCTCGACCGCTGTCGGGAATGTTGGAGGACGGCGGCTGCAAGAGCGACGCTGCCGCGGCGGAGCCGTCCGCAGGCGAGGCTGTGCCGGATGGCTGCACGTGCACGCCGTTACTGCCTGTGCTCCCTATCTGACGCGCCGCCGCCGCCGCCGCCGGCCGCCGGTCCCCAGCCGGCGCAGATGCAGACTCTGGCCCCGCCGTTGCCGCTGCTGCTACTGGAGCCGCTGACGCCGGAGCTGACAGCACAGCAGCTGAACTCGCAGCCACTACCTCCCCGGCGTCTGCCGCCGGCGGCAACGGCGGCCCTGTGAGCCCCAGCAGCAGCGCCATCCTCGTCCCCATGGCTCTCAGCATCAGCGCCGCCATGCGACCCAGACTGCTGTCCAGCTCCGCAACCACATCTGCATCGACGGTGGCACCGTCGCCAGATGCAGCGGCGGCGGCGGCGCGGCGGCGGCGCTCTGCCACCAGGCCTGCTGCTGCCGCGGCCACGAGCACCATGCTCCCCACTGCCGCGGCCATGGCACCCGGGGAGGTGCCGACTGGAAGATACTGGTTGAACCACTGCATGGACAGTAACATCAGTGGCAGCAGTGATACCAATCAACCATCAAACCACATTCGGTGGTCCGTATCTGCGACAGAGCCCTCATTGCTGTGCTGTCCGCACGCAGATCCGTCCTGGACGTCCGGGGAGATGTTTGCTACTCGTCAGGCCGCGGGGCGCAGGGCGAGGCCTTGGCGCCTACTGCCCGTGCCAAACAGCCACGACAAAATATCTAAAATCAGCTCGTAATCCCCAAAGACTCCACCCCGCCCCACCCCACCCCACCCCTCACCTTGCCGCCAGCTGCCACTATGGTGGCCTGGTGGCTGTGCTTGGCGCCTAGGGGCCTCAGCGACCACATCTGGTCCTCCCTCGCACAGCAGGTCATGTTCAGGAAGCGAAGCAGCGACTCGGCGTCGCGTTGGCGGCCCTTGTACTTGAAGAAGGTTCTGGAGTGCTCCGGGAAGGAGATGATGGACGGGTAGTAGGCCACCCCCAGCACCTCCCGGGCGAACATGCGGCCCTCCGCGGCGTCGCAGTTGACCGCCACCACCCGCACCGCTGACACGTGGGAGAGACCCTCCGCCAGCCGCTCCAGCTGAGGAGCAGGGCAGGGCAGGGAGGGGGGCACCGGTGCGAAATGGGAAGGGGAATAGGAATACGGGACCAGGGCAGTGATACGCGAACCGATGGGACGTAGGGCGCTTAGGGCGGTTCGGCACGGTACGTTTCGGAGAGAGTGATAAGGTCAGTCCCCCAGCTCCCTGCATTTCACGTCACCCTTTCCCAGCCATGAGTTTGCCTCTCCAGTATCCCTCCTGTACGGCGCATGTACTGATCCCCACCTCCGCATCCTCACCTCGTCCTCCATGTCCCTGCAGTGGGGGCACCACGGCGCGTACAGCACCAGCAGCGTGTTCTGCGAGTTGCCCCGGTCGCACTGCCGCAGGTACAGCTCCTTGGCCTCACCCACACTGGCCAGTCGCACATGCTCCGAGCCAACTGAGCAGTTGGGACACAGGGGCAGTTGGGACACAGGGGCAGTTGGGACACAGGGGCAGTTGGGACACAGGGGCAGTTGGGACACAGGGGCAGTTGGGACACAGGGGCAGCAGCGAGAGTGGAGCAGCACAAGTCGCAGCGGGAGTGGAGCAGCATAGCGAGTGGTGGGAGTGGAATGACGTGGGGGGAGTGTGTGTGCCCCCGGGGGCCCCCCGCTGCGAATCGGGACCACGGAGAGAGAGGGTAGGACGGCGCAACTCGACAGCATTTCGGTCTGCGATAGGCAATATCTTGCTTGGTGGGGGCCTGTACAAAAACCCTCTCCCGAGGGGCACAGGAGCCGGACGATACTCAAATCTTAATCTCTTAATCAAGGGGGGGGCAAGCACCCGGCAACGGCATGCATTGCAGGGTTGTGTTGCACACGCCCTATATAGCCGCAACGGGGCTGGCGACAGCACCCGAAGGTGCAGCACCCGCCAGGCGTTAGGAGGTCTGCTGGAAGTGCGCGACAGGCGCGTCTCGATCCGCGACTCTCACCCCAAAGTCCGCGTGCTGGTGTCGATCCCAGGGCGGCGGCCGACGTTGCGTCATCTACGGGCGCCACTGCCGTTATGCCGGATGCGGGGACCAGCAGCTGCTGCCCCTCAACGAGCACTGGGTCCGTGCCCGCCAGCTTGTTCATGTCTTTGATAGTTCGCATGGACACGCCGTGCTGTATTGCCACGTCCCATATCGTCTCGCCCTTTTGTACAGTGTATGAGACGATGGCCGGAGCAGCATCCTTGCCGGCGCCTGCGAGGGTGATGGTGCGCCCCCCGGGTCGGGAGGGTGTCCCCGCCCGCGGCGCGAGGGAAGCGCGCGAGACGCAGGCCGGAGTCAAGCTGGTTCCAGAGCGCTGCGTGCATGTGCGGCCGCCGGCTGGCCGTGAGGGTGCCGGCGTGCCAGTCCGCATGTCAAGGCGATTTCGTCCCGTCAGAAGACTGCTGCAGCGTAACTGTCGAGGAAGGGTAGCTGGGATGCCTTTATGAGATTGACCCAACACTAGCTCCACACGCCAGGCTTGGCCAACGAAGGGTCGCCCGCCTGATGCGACTTGCGCCCAGTTGTCCCAGAACACAGGAACCAACCTTCCGTTTATTTGGCGAAAGTATTCGCAGCAATATATATTACATCACCAGGTCAAATCGTTTATAAAACGCAGCCCCAGTGAAACGTTTGCTACGGTTACAAGTAGGCGATTGGACAGCAGGGAGCTGCCCTACGCACAAAGACTCGACCCGACCCGACTATATATATCACGTGAAAAGTTGAATATGTATGACCGAAACATCATAACAAGAGAGCTTCTTCCATCATGCGTCTCCGTACACCTTTTGACCCGTCGACCAACATTTTTGGCATGCACAAAATACTTATCGTATCATCACCAAGCGTAGCTTCAAACCACTTTGTAATGGACCTATTGGCCGCTGGCTATGGAAGTGACAGTGGCAATGACGAGGACGCCACTCGCACAGAGGAACCTGTTCCGAAACCAGCAGCTCATACGGCACCGCGTAATGAACCAGCAGACGACTCAGGGGATGACTCAGCGGAAAGCAGCGACGAAAGGTGGGGGGTTTGACGCGTGCGGCGCCGCAGACGACAGACACCCCGCCAGACATAACCGTCCACTTATCCCGCCAGTCGCGTCCCGACCTAGATCCCGTCGTCCAGCACCCGTAGCGGCACTGCAACTCCTTCCATCTACGCTGTCTCCCCTCTCCCAGCCTTCATCCAAATTCACACACAGCCTCCGCCCTGCACCTCCGCCCTGCGAAGTTTGCGTTCCCCTCCGTCCCCACCCAAACTGCGCCGGCTAATCCATCCACTCGTTCGATTCCTCCTCCGCAGTTTGGACAGCGCGGAGCTGAGGGCGGCGCAAGCTGCCGCCCGACTGAGGGACTTCGGGGAGACCGCCACGTCGGGAAGGCAACGGCAACAGCAGCCACAACAACATCCGCAGGCGACGACGGCGACCAGGTCCGCACTGCCCTCTGCACTGGATGTCCTGGACCAGGTGCGAATGCACGCGTGATGCCATATATTACCAAGGAGCCTGCAAATGAATGGGAAAAGCTTTTTCCTAATATGGGAGCACATACGCCGCGATACAACCCCCCCGCGGCTGGGCGGGGATGTCTGGGTGGGTGGGTGCGTTTGTCTCGATGATACACACAGCGGAGTGCTGATCCCCGCAGTGTCGAGTATGGTCTCTTTCACTGCACTTGCTCGTATAATACCATATTATTGTATCGTACTCTCGCTGTACGTCACGTTTTCCGATCGCTACCTTGTTGCGCGACGCCAGGTGGAGGGCCCGCCCACCTTCCTTGACCCCGAGGCAATACGGCCGTTAGCCACGTCAGCGCTGCACGGCCTGTCGGACGAGCAAGCGGCCGCACTGGCGGGGGGCCCCGGCGGTCGCGGTGCGGGCAGTCGCGGGGAGCGGCAGCAGCCCGGCAAGGACTTCGACATCTCCCGGCTGGCACCCCCCCTTAAGGGACAATCCAAGTGGGTGATGTGCTGCTGCACGGGGGGACGGCTGGGGATGGGTGGGTAGGAGGACGAAGGACTGTGTTTCCTCTCTCTCTTTCTCTCTTTCTCCTTAATTTTCCGTGTCTTCCTCTCCTAGGCGGGTGACCTGGCGGCTGAGGATGTGGAATCGACCCGCGTCCTGAAACCCCACCTGAAACCCCTCATCTTCCCCCCTTCCGTCCCCCGGCGCTCAGGCCCAGTGCTGACAAGCGGGAGGGGCCCCCCGGGGCGATCATAGAGGGGCGGGCCAAGAGGTACAAGGCGCAGGAGGAGGGCCCGGGGGGCACCCAGCAGTACACGGCGGCGCAGGTGGGAAGGGGGGAGGGAGTGGGAGAAGGGGGCCGTTGGGGTGCGGAAGCGGATCGCAATGACAGACTCGCCAAGGAGGGAGGGAGAGAAGGCAGAAAGGAAGGAAGGAACTCGGCGTCCACCCGCACCTCAACCGCAAATCGAGGCATGCAGCTCTCCGCGCTTAGGTCCTCTGCTCCCGCTGGGATATGCTTCTCTGTCTTCGTGCCCGCCCTCTTGAACTCGCGATCCCCTTTCCATCACCCATCATCCGCCCGGCCACGACCCCCGCTCCGCGCTCAGCCCGTCCTGCCCGTCTTCCGATCCCTCTGTCTGTCTATCTGTCTGACCTGTCTAGATTGCCATGATGGGCGGCAATGTGGACGGCATGTCCCGGGCGGCCGGCGGCCCTACCAAGCCCATGGAGGTGTCGGAGTTCCTGAACAAAGGCCTGGGTGCGGCGCAACTTCCTCGTCGCACTCAGGATCGCAAGGACAAGGAGAAGCAGAAGCGCACGCGGGGGCAGAGCACACACTCGCACTGGAAGAGCGAGGCGGAGATGGTGCTGCGACAGCAGTTCGATTCGTGATGCGCTATTTGCACTATCCACACAGCGGACGAGGATTCAGTTGGGCGCATGGATGGCTGGGGTTGTAGGAGGAAGTGTATATACATACAAGCATATGAATATGGACGGATACTTAACAGAATTGGGAAAGCTGGGGGGTTGAGGTGTGCATGTATGTATGTGTGTGTGTGCGGGGGTTGGTTTCCGGATTGGGAAATTGGATAACGGCATGTTAGCGATGTTGCGAGGGGGACGCTCTGCGGTACCCCACCGTGTGTTATGCGCTCAGTTGCGTTCCAACAGTGGCCGTTGCGACCCCTCATGTAACTAAGGAATCGGGTGTCAGGAGGAGGAGAAGGAGGCGGAGGAAGTGGGGATGGGAGGTACGGATCGCAGCGAGCGAGACTTGACGGGGACCCCATGCCAGGGCGTCCTTGGGCCCTAGGGATGCCGACCGCATTCTGGGACAGGTGAGGGGGTGAAGCGGGGTGAAGCATGCAATGGAGCGGTGATGCTGCGGCGGTAAAACCCCAGTCAGCGAACTCTGCGTGTTGTGGCGGTTTTCTGTTGGTGAGGATCTCTGTCTGTATATCTTGAGCCATGATGTCCTGAAGTGGTGCGGTGTATTATGCTGTACACGCAGACGCCGGCGAGGGCACACCACACTGCTGACTGACCCATGGGTCCGAATGTAGCGCAACGGCTCTGGAGATGGGATCGTTCGGGTGGTTACGGTTCTTGCCGCCCCCAACCCCCCTCACGTCTCTGAGTCCCGGCAGTTCATTCGCTTTCTGTCACCGTCTGCAGAGGGCGGTGGCCACCTACTGGGTCCAGGGGGCCCGGGGGCTGCAAAGAACGCCCTTGTGGCCGCCTTTTCCACCCACACGAAGCCGCCTCATACGGTCTTCCAGAACGCCGTTCAGGGGCCCTGGCCAGGGCTCCCCGAGGAATAACAAGAGGTTTGATGCGCAGCAGTCCACAGTGCACCGCATCGTATCTCGACCGACAAGCTATTGGCCTTTGGCCTCCTAATGCCCAGGTCTCCGCCTCTGGCTGGGCTCGGCAGTGGCCGGGCGAGCCGCCTCCCGAAGAAACAGCTCCACTCACCCATGCACTCTGCAAGTAGTGCTCACTAGGTCATTCACTCCCTCCCTCATTCCCCCCCTCACACTACGGGAGACAGGTACTCAGACAGGCAAACCAGCCGCCGGCACTCTCTTCAGGCTTTGGCGGGATCCCGCAGATACAGATATACATACACATACACATACGCAATGTATCAGAACAGGTCCATCCGAAACATTTAACCCTCGTCGTAGTTTACATCATCAGCGAACAAACTAAGTTTCCACCATCATCAGCGAACTAAGTTTCCATCATCATCAGCTTTTCCCTCCTGCACTTTCATGCTGACATTTCACTGGTAGCCTCACTCCACCGCTGCTTCCCTAAGCTGCCCTATCAACACGCGTTCGTCCTTCTGGACGGCTAAGAGGAGTTTCGGCGACGACGAGGATCTTGTGCTCGATGGTGAGGTGCCAAAGGCTACCTGCAGACCTGCTCTGGGAGCTCTGCGTACACCGGCTACTGACTTACCCTCTCCACCTCCTCGTTGATGCGTATCGTCCCCCCTACCCCACCCTCACCCTCCGGATTGCCACCAACTACATCTCCCGCGCCACTACCTCTATTCACACTGCGGAAGAAAGCTCATAGGTGTCAGGTCCTCGCTGGGCGGTATGCCGCCCCCGACCCGCCTGCTGCCGCCTATACCCTGTCCTGCACCCTAACGCTACGTGTACTCCAGCTACGTGCTCTTCGTACTGCTCTGAATCTTTACCATCCTGCTGCTGCTACTCCTCCTGCTGCTGCTGTGGCTCCTCCTGCTGCTACAGCTGATGCTTCCGCCCCTGCTGCGGATACCTTTCGGGGCCCACCTGCTCTCCGGGGTCAGTACCGCTGCGGCCCCTCACTGTGCAGTCAGCAGTAAGGAACCCCCAGGACGCTGTCTTCCGGGCCTCACCCCCTCACTCGGCAGCAGGGTCCCCCGACTTTACCCCAGTAGCCCCCCACCGCCGCCTAGGGCTCCATCGCCACCACAGTCGCCCGGCCGGCCTGGCTGGCGGCTGGCGGCATGATCAGCGTGAACAGGTTCCGTGACGCATTGGACGCCTGCGCACTCACGCACAGCAGCGTGCCGTCCAAGCTGACGGAGCAGTACCGCCCGAACGCTCGGCTCAGCAGCATCACAAGCGACCCGTCACCCAGCGGCGCAGCGGCGCCCACAACCCACGACCAGGGCCAATCCCAGCGCCCTGCGCCCCGCCGCTGTTGTCCTTGCGCCGGTGGAACCGCCGCCACCCACTCCGCTGCCGCCGCCACCGCCACCGCTCCTTCGCTGCGCCACAGCGCTCCGGCTGCTGCTGCTGCTGCTCCTTGGACAGCGGCGGTGCTCTGCATCGCCGTCGCTGCCGCCGCCGCCGCCGCGCTATCCGCCGATGGCTGGCGGCCGCCGCCGCCATCTCCGCTGACATCGCCGCCGTCATTGCATTGCACCACTACCTGGGCCTGCGGGCCGCCTTGGCCGTCCAAGTCCAAGTCCGAGTCCCGGTGGTGCAGCCGGCGTGCGGCTCCCCCGGATACACCCAATATCGTCCTCCGCGATGCTTCCCCTTCTCCCCCCTTCCCCCCATCCTCATGCCCCTGCTCAGTATCGTCCCCGGCCGCTTCTACCCGCCTCACCACCTCCAACCTTATACGCGGCAAGGGCAGAAGCCGCCGCCGTTGCTCTTCCGACCACCAGCGCGCGAGGGGGCTGCTGCTGCTGCTGCCGCCCGCAGCGGCGTCCGCAGTAGCGTCCTCCTGGCTCCCGGCAACTGCATTGGATTCGGAATCCAGAGGGAGGAAATCTGATGCGGCGTACTCGGAGATAAGATCCGGATCCAGGCCTGCTGGTGACATCTCCTGCTGCAGGGATCGCAGGAACGACAGCAAGAAAGACCCGAAACGGGAGCTGCCACGGACACGCGCCGCAGCGTGATGGGGCTCCTTCAGCGCTGTAGCGGTACCGACCCCTGGGCCGCTGGGCGTCTCACCGTCACCCGCCGCCGCCGCCGCCGCCGCCGCTGCGCCGTTAATTTCTTCCCTGGCGGCTCCGCCGTTGCGCGGCGACGGCGTCGGCGACTCAATCTTTACGTCGTACATTTGGAACCAGCATTCGTTAGCCACGGGCACGGATGCCGGCGGGGGCGGCTCGCAGAGGAGGATGTGGGGGGACGCGGTGAGGGCGCAGCACCGCTGCAGCTCTGCACCCATAAGGCCGGGGCTGAAGGTGGAGATGCCTGCAGTGTGTTTGTGCGTGATGGGGTACGAGTGGGAGACGGAGGGAGAGAGGAGGGAGGGGGGGGGAGGCCGGGGAGAACGGGTCCCTCGGTGCGTGAGGGTGACACGTGGCGAAGCAGCGCACAGGGCCCGTGTAGCAAGTGTAGCAGCAGCAAGCAGGGCGGTTACTACCGGTATATGTACAACTAACCAACGAGCTGCTACGGGACTGTACGCGCAAGCGGGCGCCATGAGGCGTGTGTATGTATGTATGTATGTATGTATGTATGTATGTATGTATGTATGTATGTATGTATGTATGTATGTATGTATGTATGTATGTATGTATGTATGTATGTATGTATGTATGTATGTATGTATGTATGTATGTATGTGTTCACATCCTTGTGAAGAATAGCGAGCGGGTGGGCGGGTAGTGCAAGTGGAGCGGCCGGGCAAGAGGGCACGTACGGGCTGCTCTGCTTGCCCTAACTCCCGACCAGCCGACCAGCCCATGTCAGAAACATGACAGGTCACACAGGCCATGAATATACACACATACATACATACTTACACGCATACACACATCCTGGGCCGAGAGGATCGTACCTTCGCGCCGCACACCGCCACATACCGTCCCCGGCTTAAGCACGATAACCCCCCTCCCCTCCCCCTCCTCGTTCCCCACCACCCTAAAGCCGCCGTTCCAAACCCTCAATACCCCCACACACCACGACACACACCCCCACACCACACCCAACGCACCCCCCTCGTCCGCTCACGTCAACAAAATCGGACTACAGCTACCGCGATACTGCTCACAACCTCCTGCCCCCTTCCACCACACACACACACACCTACAACACGCCCACGCCCACACCCCGGCACGCAAAGTCCGCCCCTCTCCGCCACCATAGCTCCACCATGTGAACGAAACCCATCGTGGCCTCTCACCCACCTACCTACGACCACACCCGCCGCCAGCACCGACCCAGGGGTCTGCAGCACCAGCTCCACCTCCGCCTCGCGACCCTCCTGCTCCCCCCCCTGGCACACCACGTCATGGGGCCCGGACAGCCCCGGCAGCCGCACCCCGCAGGGCGACCCGGTCAGCAGCGAGTGCAGCTGCGATCGCGGGTACGACATCGTCTGCAGCTGGAACTTGTATCCCGACCAGCCCGGGTAGTCCAGGTGGCAGGAGATGGCGGCACTCAGGCCCGCGACATCTGTAGAGGCGGGGCGCGGGGGGGGGGGGGCCGGGAGCGGCGGAAGTGCCCCAAAGGGGGGGGGCGGGTATACCCAATGCGAAGTCAAGGGGGGGAAACAGCTGTCATGACGTCCATGGTTGGCACGGGGAAGGAGCGGTGTCGGGCATCAGGCGCACATCAGAGCAAGCAACGGGTCTCCTTGGAAAGGTGGCGGTGGCGGCGGGGAACCAAATGCCGTAATTGTACCGTGGCACGGGGTCTACTGCCGGTAATCACCAATCACCAGCTTGCACGGGGTGGGGGGGTAAGGGGTAAGGGGGAACATGGGGGGGACACGGTAACGGGCCGGACGTAACCCGCCGCCGCCATCCGTGATGGGGTCGCGGCACGCGGCGCAAGTGGAGGGATGTGTACTGGCGAGACCGAGGTAGACGGCCCCCCCCACCGGCAAGCGTGCAGTACTTGTCCCCCTCCCGGAGATAGATCCACTCCTTATCGAGATCCACAGAGGCGCCGTCCTTCAGATCGGACTTGAAGATCTTGTACGACACCGTGGGCGGCTGGCCCAGCGAGCAGATGACGGCCCGCGGCGGTGCATCCCCGACGACGGCGCTAGCGGCGCCGTAGCCATTGTCTTCGTCTTCTTTCTTGCCGTTGCCGCTGGCCCCCGCCGTACGGCCCCGGAGGCAACCTTCACACCACCACCGACACCAGCTGCCGCCGCAGGGGCCGCTGCTGACGTCGGCGGCGCCGCTACCCTGCTCGCGCCCCCCGGGGGAGTATCCCTTGTGACACCGCATTGTCCTCGCCACCCCGCACCGTACCACATCCAGCCATAAATGAGCAGTACGAGCTGCCTGCAGTACAATTGAGTCCCACGCGTACGGCTCGTAAACCGTCCCCGTCAGCCGAGGGGTCGCCGGCGGCGGCGGTGCTGCCACTGCGCGATCAGGCCGGGGCGACTGCAGCAATGCCGGCGGCGAGTTACATAACCCGGCACTTCTAGATAGTAGTCGTACAGCCTGGCCGCTAGTTACGACAACAGGCGCCGACGCGTCGGTCAGGAGGCTGCCGTCGGTGCCGCCGCCGCCACCGTGCTTCTGTAGGGCATTCCCTGCTGCTGCTGCTGCTGTTGCTGCTGCCGCCGCGCCGCCACCGTCGCTGCTGACGCCGCCGTCCGGCAGTAGCACCGCAAACGAAGAGCCGTACTGTGGGTACTTGTTATTGCAAGCAATGGCGTAGCCATTACCCCCAGCGGCGGCTGTAGCAGTCACCAGGCCGCAGTAGCCCTTACTGGTCTTCAACGAGAAGTACCACTCTGGCCGAGTACGACGAGGTTCAGTTTGGGAAAAGCGTTAACGGAAATGGACAACACATTAACAGTTGGACTGGGGGGGCACGGGTACCAGATGCCCTCCCAAAGGGGACTTGGACGAGGACCCCACGCACCCACCTGATATGGGGGAGCCGTTACCCGCCTCAAGATCCGGGGATTTTTCAAGAGCTCCTGCCTCGTGGCTCCCTACCGGGGCTTTACCGTAGATGGGCCCGGCTGGGTGGGGTTAGGGTGGTGGGTAGACGGGGTAAAGGCATAGCCGGGCCAGGCCAGCGGGCGTGAGGTGAATTGAAACAAAGCAAGCAATTTTGTTTTGGACATGAGCTTACCTTCCAACGTGCCGCGCGTGCAGCAACACTGGGCAGCGACGATGAGTAGTGCAAAGAAAGCACGCGTCGGGCCGTTCATAGCCCTGTCATGTAGTGAATTTAAATAGGGGAGCATATTCCATCGCGACTAAAGGAAAATTGTAGGCTCCGACGAAATCATAAAGATTACGAAATCTCCGTGCAAAACCCCAATGGAGGAATTCTTCCTTGTGAGAGCTGCATGAGGAGGCCGCTTTTGGAGACGAAATCGTCGGAATTCGCTGGGGAGTGCTAAGGCAAATCCGGGTGTAGAGCGTCAGGATTTGAACCCAAAACAATTAGCTATTCGCTTGCAGGCAACGCAAAACGTCATCCGTGGCATTGGCCTTTGACTTCTTTTTGGTCTACACCTGACACATATTTGTGCCCACTCCTACACGTATCGTAGCTCAGCAATGGCCGATAACGGCGATGGGCGCCGTGCAGATGCCATGGACCTCACCAGCGACGTTGGCAACCAGTCGCGGAGACACGGCCTCGTTCACTAAACACCGGTAGCACTGCGTACATCAACGGTTACTCACACAGCAGGCGGGTAACAGGTCGCGCAGTGCTTCGAGGCGCGTGCGTGTCTCGAACGCGGGACAGCTCGGCTCTGCGAGCCAGAGGAAATCCCACTATTGCCACGCCGCGTTCCCTACTCGTTTATATGTCCGTTTTAGAGATACCGACCCGCACCCAGTGCTTCTCTGCCAGAGCCAGGCTTCCAGCGAGCCGCGCCGGGATCTCCTTTCAGGTCCCCGGCACGCATGTGTCTGGCCCGTCCACCCCCCCGGGGCCGCAGGGGAGCCTATGCCATTGCTGCAGCCGCGAAGGCGGCGTCCCGGCACGAAGCTGCACCGTGCCGGCAGGTGACATGGCTGGGGGTAAGACAGAGGCGGTCGTTTAGCATCACGCTCTTTGCTTTGTGTATATTAGTTAGTGCAGCGATGCTGCAGGCTGCTGCTGCTCTGACTCACCTTCACGCCGCGGGTCAGCCATCTGCATCAGGTTCATGACATCATTGATGAGATTTTCTCGGGTGGCGATGGTGGGTCGACACTCGTAATTTTGAAGGCAGCTGGAGCGGTCCTTGTCCTCTGCCTATAACCGCTTCTCTTCAGCCACAACGGCGCTGGCCAAAGTCGGCACGCGATTTTGGCCCTTAGCACCTGTTGCTGTGTCGCGGAGGCCACCATGTGTCGCGGAGGTGCTGTTGCAGCTCGTGCCGCTGTGATGGCCGTGTGCGTCGTGTGGTCTGAGATTCCGATGCTGTGCTATCCAACACGATGCAACTCGAGATGCAACTCGCCTTCCTGTTTCTTAAATGGCGCCTGTCGAAACCCCGGATGGTCGCTATTCAGGTTCTACGGTGCAGCTGGGGGGGCAGCTGCACGGCCCGTCGACACGGCGGGATTACGGGCGGCGGCAGCAGATGCGGACGCAGGTGCGTGCTCCCTGCTCCCTGCTCCCTGTCACCACTCCCTCCGTCGTTCCCGCCCCTGATGTTGCAGCCGCGGGAGCCGCACATCGTTGGACACACGCAGCCCCCCCCCCGGATTCCAGGCAATTGTATTGTTTGGCAGCCTCCGGGTCAAAACAGCAGGACAGATCAGGACCCGCAGCACCTGCGGCACCCGCATCAGCAGCCCATGCCAAGCGGAGAGGCGCAAGGACAGCTCTAACTGGAACCGCTCCTGCAACAGCAACAAAACCAACACCAGAACCAACAGCAGCTGTGACAGCAGCAGCAGCAGCAGCCGCTGCTGGCAACCCACCAGCTCCGACCACCTCGCGCCAAGTGCCGCCAGCTGCGCTGCCACAGCTGGGATCTACAACCAGCGGCACCGCAGCAGCTGCCCTGCACCTGGCGGCCGGGGTCGATCCGGTGACCTGCAGCGGACCCAGGTTGTAGTACGTGGACTGTGGTGCCCACTGTGGCGTCCCCACCGGGTGCTGGCATGATGACATCTGGGTCATGTGTACCTGTTTCTTCCTTGCCTGCCTTGCCTGCCTGCCTGCCTTGCCTGCCTGCCTGCCTGCCCTACCTGCCTGCCCTGCCTGCCTGCCTTGCCTGCCTTGCCTGCCTGCCTGCCTGCCTGCCTGCCTGCCTTGCCTTGCCTGCCTGTCTGCCTGTCCGGCCTGCCTGGCCTGCCTGGCCTGCCGGCCGGCCTTGCCGGCCTTGCCGGCCTGCCTGCCGGCCTCGCCTGCCTTGCCGGCCTGCCTGCCTTGCCGGCCTGCCTGCCTGCCTGCCTGGCCTGCCTTGCGACATGCCACATACATTACCGCAGTACTACTTGTCAAAAAAAGAACCTCAACACCGGTATCGACCAACTGGTATTTTGGTTACATGATATTCTAGGGGGTCGCGAGCGCTATTGTATGTGTGTATATATACTCCCCCCTCCCCCTATATATACTCCCCCCCTTACGTCACACAATCATACCCTAGGTAACCAACGGCCACAACGCTCACGTCGCACCAATGCATGTTATAATTATACATGTAATAATATAACCCAGGCGCAAACCTCGGAACTTAAGCGCATTGCGCGGGAAAAGCTTTCAACCTCCGTGGCTTCTGGGTTGTGTGGAGGGGAGGCGAAGGCGTTTTGAGGAGGCTTAGACGCTGTGGACGGGTGGCATTCGTTGATATGCTTGGGCGCTACGGTTGAGGGATTCGTTGCGCTGAGCTCCTTGCCGCAGAAGCACTGGATCTTCACAACGCTGTTCACAAGCAGCTCATTGAAATACTGCCCCCAGGTCGCCTGCCTCCTATGCTTGATTCCTTAAGCTGCTCATAGTACTCCTGCGGCGTGAGCTTTTTGCCGTTGTAGGTATAGCTGTCCTTTCCTTTCTTGCCCTTGGGCTCGCTCGGGCCTGCACCCGTGTCCGCCATCGCTACAAGCTTTTGCTTCTGAACAAACGACGAAACGAGCTCCGGGGAACGGCAAGTAAACCTTTCTAAAGTTTCTAAATGTCGTACATTCAACAACGGCCTAACCGTCATCTAATGGGCCAATCTCAGCTACATAATCTCTAAGTATAGAATTCTCAGTTAGATTTCTAACTTTAGAATCTAATCTTGAGATGAGATCCAACCTTACATATGGTCACACTGTCCCGGCGGCTATAGTGACGCACATACGGACGAATTGTTTCGTATGTACAGGTATGTACTGGCTCCTTTCAGAGCTGTGCTGGTCAGTTATCAGGGGTTAAACTTTAGGTACGCCATACGCGTACACACACACATGCGCGCGTGTAGGTCACGCGGGTGCAGTTTTAATGCTGTTGAAGGCAAGGTCGAACATCGGGTCGTAAACTGTATTGTTCAACAGGACAGCTCGGCACCAATCTGCTGGTGTATAACTTCCGGAATGCCCTGGACCTCAGGTTTGATGAGGATCGCCACAAATGGGCCCCCTTCAGAGCTGCACCAGGAGGTGGCGCCAGTTGGGGTTTGTAGATCACGGCAAAAAATTGAGGGGTGTGTATCGGAAAGCCGTCAAAGGTTCATAAGTACATACACAGCAGCGGTTATTTGCTGATAACAGAGAGCCCTCGGTGTGGTCGTCGTTATTCCGAGCCCCGCTGCTAGTAAAAAAACGCGACATGCATTCGCAATGCCGGCATCCAGTAGCCCCCCAAAGAGTTCTGCGCCAAGAAAGGAGACAAGAGAGACAGAGAGAAGAAGAGGTAGGGAATCGTGTTGGCTAAAAGGGCGGCGGACCCCACTGAAAGGAGCAACAGCACGCGTAAACCGGCACTGCGAGCTTTCACACAGCAAGCTGCACCAGCAACCGTAGACGCAGCTCCGTTCAAACATCATCACTACAAGGAAAAACGATATCCTCACAAAAGAGGTAACTAACACCTGAAGGCAGGAGAGCGTACGAGCTTGCCCGCAACCATCCTTCCCTACTTCCCCACTTCATTCAGTTAGCTGCCTGACATCACAGAGCCCCCCCCCCTTCAGACAGCTTTCACAGCTACTCGCACCAGGGTCCCAACATGCCTCCACGAGCCAAATCCTGCAACGGCGGCTCCCACCTAAGAAACAAACCTTGCCACAAATCCATAGCTACGGGCCGCGCAGATAGGGAACACTCTCTTGCACACACACACACACACACCACACACACACACAGTCGCGACACCGAATGGCAATTTCTTGCCCTGGCGCTAACCAAGTCCCTCAGGCGCTAACCAAGCCTGGTCCAAGAACCCCAGACTCGTGTATTTTCCCCCTGCGCAATGAAACGCGGGTAGTTGCGGACGCGACCGCGGCCCTATGATGGCACCCGATGACCATCAAGCTTCGAGAGCACCTTTACATCGTACTTTCACGTCCCTTGGGAATCAACGGCTGGACGTCAAGGACCACCTTGGAGGAGGCGAGGTACACGCGGTCCCCCTGGTCCAGCAAAGATTTGCAACACTCTCCCTGCACTGAACCTACCCCCTTGAACGAAATCACACCACAGGTCCACTGATGCGATAAACAATGTGCTGACTTAACGCGCTGTAAGACATCACTACCCCCCAGCCCGTCCCTCTGCCACAAGGCTGCAGTACCCAGCTCAATCCTCATCATCATTTCCCCAAGGTACGCCGCAAAGAGTCTTGGCAGACGATGCTGCTGGCTCCTGAAACCGCAGACGCATGGTGTGCATGGAAACAGGGTTTAATTTCTATTAGGTATATCGATGTACGTGATACACATAAGAAAACACACATACGACGTGGTTCTTCTGGCCCTCGCGCGCAGGAAACAAAGTTGTTAAGGTGCCACAGTATGCAGGAAGGGATCAGTGGAAATCAAATTTATAACATTGCCCAATAGAGAGGTTGTGTTTCAAGGGCTACCTGTGTGCGGAAAGCAGTCGCGCTGCAGTCGCCGAACGGACAATTGTGTATGACGACGTCGCTGATATGACGAGGGCCGCATTCGGCAGAGCTTCAGGAAGCTCCGAAACCGTCAAACACGCTGTAACCGCAACCAAGCAACCGCCAGTTATCACGTGACTGACCCCAAAGGCAATATTGTGAGCCATGGGCACAATCCTCCCAACATGTATCCGACACACAAAACGTACAACAGTGCCACCTCGCTGCTATGTATCATGATTTGTTGTGAGATGACTAACCCGCTCTCCACGGCACTTCTCCGCCCTTCCTGAGGGCACATCCTTCCCCAAATCGTACATACGGCATTTGCTGGGTGCGAGTACGGCACCATTGGATAATGCCCCTTAGCAATGTTAAGCACGCACACGGATGCCGGGGACGGATACCTCCGGGACATGCCTCCTGGCAGAGTTCGGAGGACGCAAACGACAGCAGCTGCTACTACAACAAGAATAGAATCTTCCTAGGCCTGGCCTCTGCGGCCAACCCACTTTGCGACAATTACCAACCAGCGCCATCCCGCTTTAAAAACCACTTGCTTGGCCACCTGGACATCATCCACGTGATCAGACCTTGCAATTTTTGCGACGACTCCTGCTACCTGCTCTCCGGAGGGCCTAAACGCGCCCCGAGAGCACACGCGCAAAGCCATCCGAGCCCTGCCTCAACACGTCAACAGAAAACATGTCCAGCAACCGGCTGCGCATAGAATCCCAAGTTTGAAAGCATGCGACTTCTGCTGCGAGAAAATGCTCCTTGTTTCTCACGACGGCTTCAATCCCCTACCATCCCCTACCCATCCTAAAACCAACCCAGATCTACCCGCACCATGTGTTCGGCGGACCGGGCCGCCCACCGCGGACCGCATGCCTCGCATGCACAGCTCAACAATGGCAAAATGGTTTACAATGATAATGTGAAAGACAAACTGGACATCGAGCGAGCTGCTCCACCCCCGCAACGTGGGTGGATGCGCTACCTGGGGCAGGCATTGGGGAAGACGCCAGAGTGGTCCTTGACGCGGCTGCTGCGCCTCCTGCCTCCAAGGAGCATACATCAGAGGACACAGGAGCCCGCGGTGTGATACCCGGTGGTGCCGCTGCCGCTCCCGCCGCGGTCCCTGCCAACGCAACCCCCGTCCACCACCTAAAAATCGCAGTCGGTTCGGAAGACGTGCTCACTTGACCCCCGAGCTTGCTCCGCTGAGCCATTGTCCCCCGCCATGACGCAGGCGCGCTGGTACTCGCCCACACGCCGCTCGAAAAAGTTGGCCTTGCCCTGCAGACTGATCATCTCCATCCAGTCAAACGGGTTGACCGTGTTGTAGTACTTGTCGTACCCAAGCGAGACGAGCAGTCGATCAGCGACAAACCTGCAGATGCGCAACGAAGTACACACATACACAAAGGCTTCCTGAGGCTTCAAAAATCCTGTTGAAGCTGTTTGTCCCCCTCCATGCAGACACCCGGTATCCACCCTCCTCTCCCCACTCACTCACTCACTCGGCCGCCCGCACTCACCGGCCCTCAGGTTGGCGGGTTTTCTTTCCTAACCTCTCCCTTCCCCTCTTCTCCTCCCTCCCTCCTCACCGGATATACTGCCGCATCAGGTCCGCATTCATCCCCAGCAGCTCGCACGACAGCGCCTCCGTGCAAAACTCGTCCTCTAATCGCACGGCCTCGTCCACAATCTGGTGGTAGACACATAGACAGACAGACGGAGGTGAGCCCACCGAGGGCAGCGCGCAAGGGGAGGAGGCAAACGCGCGCAGCTCGATCGCATCAACTGCTTCCCAACTGCTCCCGCTCTAGGGCTGCAACGGCATATCTATTGCAGGTACGACGATACAAGACATGTTCCGTTGTTCCGCACAGCAGATTCCTTGCTGCGCCTCTTTGCAATCCACGGTGCTAACTCCGCTGCATCGAAGAAGCGTTGGTAATCTAACGCGAATTTGACTCATAAGGACGTGGCGCCCGAAGACACTTGTAAACACAGAGGCGAGCGGTCCCGGTAGGGGGCCCGGCAACCCGCAGATCCCATCCTCCTACCCCCTTTCTCTTCCTCCCCCTTCCTTCCCCCTTTCTCATCTGCCTCACCTTGACCACCCGCTCCCGAGACAGGCGGTTCTTCAGGTGGCCGTACAGGCAGCACGCAAAGTCGCAGTGCAGGCCCTCGTCCCGGGAGATGAGGCAGTTGGAAAAGCTCAAACCAGGCATCAGCAGCCGCTTCTTCAGCCAGAAGATGGCACAGAAGCTATGTACACGATTTTTTTGGTGGGGGAAAGAAAGCGGGGGGGGAGGCAGGGGGAACCAGTTATGCTTTCCTAGCTCTCCCCCCAAAGTAGGACTTTTGGCTGTGTGTGCAGGAGGCTGAAAAACGGCTTCTGTGCGATGCGTGCAGCCGCGGCAGCAAACTATCACTCAATCCATTGTTCCAAAAAGGCCACATCCCATACCCCAAGTGCACGCCACGCTCCCTCAAAGCTCCTGCCATTAAATCGCACATGCGCGCACACACACACACACGCTGGCCAACACCACAGCTCCTCACCTCCATCAGCCCCACCTCCAACCTGCCCACGTACCTCCCGGAAAAGTGAATCCCTTCCACGCACGCAAACGCCACCAGGCGCTCAGCGAACGAGTTGCTGGAGGAAATCCAGCGCAGCGCCCAGTCCGCCTTCTTGCCCACCGTAGCGATGGTCTGAATGGCGTTAAACAGCTGCCGCCGCTCCTGAGAGACGCGCAGATAGAGCAGGAAACATGGAGGGACAGAGACAAGTCATACACACACGCATGTCCGGTACACCGATGGAGGTAACATAGCGACTGGAGTGGCAGAAGACCAGACCCGAACAGAACGGATCAATATGACCATGCGCTAGGGGTCCATGACACGGGACGTATGGGCATCACGGGCGCCAGCGGCTGATGCCGCCACGCACTCTCGTCGCCTGGAGCCGTCGCCTGGAGCAGCGCGAACTTGGCCAACATGTGTGGTGCGAGCAAGCGAGCGAGAGAGAGACTTTAAGCACGTTGCTTGTATGGCCCAATATGGCACCAGCGCCACCACCAGCTTGATGTGCCACACTCAACCCCCAATATGATGTCCTTTAGCAATTAGCAACCCCCTAAGGAAGACACCTCCTCGCTCATGTAAACCACAACCCTGCGATTGGTTTGGCCGGTCCCAGGAAACTGCCCCGACCTCTTACCATTTCCGCCCCGGGATTTCCCCTCCACTCCACTCCACTCCCCTTCTACTTAGACCTCCATTTCGTCTGTTTAACAACTGTTTCGCAAGTCTGTTTGCAGACAACAGTTGGGGCGGAGTGCGGCTGTACACGCCGCCATGTGATCGCATACACCCAGTCAATCACCCATCCATTCGATCTCGACATTAAACTTCCGTACACTTCGTTCCCTCTTGACAGCACTTCCCAACTTCGCCCCAGCATCGACACTCTCCTTCCACACTCTCCTTCCCTCGGCATCTCTAAGCTACCACTTCCTGCAATCCTCCCGTAGACGGCTTTCCCGTCGTGAGTGTAATTTCCCCCTCCTCGCCGTTCCTTCTCTCTTTTCCCCCACCCACCCACCCACCCACCCACCCCACCCGTCATCCCGCTTTCCGACCTTACCGCGGGGTCCCGAACGTAGTGGTCCAGCAACACGCTGTACATCTCGCTATGCACGTTTTCCATGGCAATCTGGAAGCCGTAGAATGCGCGGGCCTCAGGCACCTGCACCTCCGACATGAACCGCGCCGACAGGTTCTCCATCACGATACCGTCGCTGGCAGCGAAGAATGCCAACACGTATTTGATAAACCGCCGCTCCTCCTCTGCGTGTGTTGGAAGGATTTCGGGGATTTTAAGGATAGGTGCGGCGGCGAAAAGCGGGTGGTTGGGCTTTTCGGCGAGCAGTTGGGGCTGATAACGAGGCTTTGGGCTCAGCGGGGCGGCTTCCACGGAACGTGCGGGGAAGCTCTCGGGCCTACCTTTAAGTTTATGATCGAAATCGTACAAGTCTCCCGTGAAGTCAACTTCTTCCACAGTCCAGAAGGACGCGACGGCCCGCTTGTAGAATTCCCAGAGGTCCGGGTACCTGGAGGCTCAGCACACATGAGCGGGCTTGAGTAAAGGGGGAGGTCGGGGTAAGAATTGCGGCCGCCGCGGCCTGTGGTAAGCACGAGTCCACGGAAATGACAGGGCGGTGAAAGCGGGAGGTATGCCCGGACGGAAGAACCAATCCTTGAATGCTGCCCGAGCTCGCCAAAGACATGTTATTTATTGTGTTGGGAACTAGGCCTGCATGTTCGTGCTGGTAGCCGCTCAGGTCGCACTTTGCACTTTTGGCGGGTCGCCAAAAGCCTACCGTATTGGGAATAACGTGAAGCGATTGGGGTTTTCCCGTAACACCGCTTCGTCCAGCTCTTCAGGTGTAAATTTTTTGTTGCTTCGTAGTTGGTTGGTGAGGACGACATCGTCAGTCCCGAGCCCATCATTTGCTTGACAGCCGGCAGAGTCCGATATTCCATCTTGAAGCTGATCAGATTTACAACTACTGCTGCTGCTTGATGCAGAACTGCAGGTTTCCGAGGTACGTTCCGGTTCCGTCTGCGTTGCCGTCCAGACACCAGACGGGCGCCGGGACTGTGTCCGTGAGAATGACTCTAATTCCTCAGGGGTGCCTGGGCCGTGAGGTTCCTGCGTTGTCTCCTGCGGCCCGGCCTCAGGACCCTGTCGACCAGTGGAGCAGGCCGAACCCGCTTCGATGTGTGGGCAGCTCACGACCACTAAGCTACAGCATTTGTGTATAGCAGCGTCCACGGCACTAGAATCAATCACCACCGCCGCCATAGAGTTCGGAAGAAGTGAGGTGCCAATTGTGCTGCGCGTGGCGTGGCGTGAGGAGGCGGCGGCCTGGGGCGGCTAGGTGCGTGTGAAATGGCAAATTACCACTAAAAAGGCCTCTTGGTAAACGAGTACGCCGCCAGTAATGCGAGGCTATGAGAGGCGACACGGCGACAACATGAAACCCGACTTTCCATTGCCGTACTTCGAGTTAGTAGCTAGTAACTTGGGTCCGTGGTAACTTGTTATGAGGCAAATCCTTGCGCTTAACCGCACTTTTCAAAGGAGTATATATTACAAAGCTCGTATTGCGTTGACAAATTTATTTACATCGGTGGCAACAAGCTAAATTGTTCACAGAACAGTGTAATAAGGAGTACCCATAATCCTTACCAGTGCTTCCCTTAGACCCGGGCCGTAGTGAAGGGCCCCAAATGGCTAGCGACGATGCAGTCGCGGCCATGGCCCGCACCATTTTGGCGGAGAAGCGCGCACGCAAGGCAGCAGAGGATGATGCACTGCGCCTTTACAACCGTGTAAGGCAGTTGCAAAAGGAGGAGGACAGGGCGCAGAAGCGTATTGTTGAGACAAAGAGGAAAGCGAAGGAGATTATCAAAGCCCGGGAGCGAAATGAGCAGAAACTGCTTGAGAAAGAACAGCGGCAGCGGGAGCTGCAGGAGCAGGTCGAGGAGCAGAAGCTGGACAATCTTCGGGCCAAGGAGGAGGCCCTGCGACACCGGATAGAGCAGGAGAACAAGATTTACCAGGATAAGCTAGAAGTAGTTCAAAAAACTAAGGAAGAACGTGCGGAAATTGAGCGTCTCCTTGCGGAGAGCAGGCTCATTGCGCGCAAGGATGCTCTTGAACAAAAAGACTTCATCCGCAAGCAGCAAGAGGATGCGAGACGGAAGATCGAGACACTTAAGCTCCAGAAACTTACGGCGGTAAGCACTTGTCGACGTAGACGCGCGCCACATGTGCCATGCGCCACCCTACGCGAACCTTAATCCCGTTGTTTTCCTTCCATGCCGCAGGCCCAGGAGGAGTATGAGCGCAGGCTTAAGGAAGAGATCGACGCCAAGTTTGCGAAGGAGCAGGAGATCGAGCGCTTGGTACGCATGGGGGCAGCACCTGGGGCTGCAGCGTAGTACAATAAGGGCGGACCCCGCGGCATGTACCCCTTTTCCCACGTCCTCGTTGCCAGTGGTTGTACCCTACATCCCGTTTCGTGCCTGGCATCCCCACAATCCACCAAACTGAAATCCGCCGGCAACTCCTGCACCGCCAGCCTGCCTGCCGTGCAACTCACACACCAAACGCTCGTGACTTGGTAATACGCACTTCGAGTCTGCACGACAGCAAAACAGGCAGAAGGCTAAACAGAGGGAATTTCCCTCGGGGATGAAGCTTGGCTGACGTTATACTGCTGTGCCGACGCTTCCGCCGACATTGACGGTCTGGGTCTGCCTGGCTGCGTGTCTATGTGTATGGTTATACAGGCCCAAATGGAGTTGGAGCTCATCGAGCGGCTCAAAGCCAAGCAGGTCGAGCAGCGCAAAGCTTACCAGCAGCTGGAGGCGGTGTTGTCGCTTGGAAACGTCAGGTAAAGGGAGGGGCTGCCGCTGGGAGAGGTATGCTCTGGAAGGACGGACCAACGAGTCGTACTAAAGCAGTACCAACCCATCGCGGGAAAAAAGGTGGTGCGACACCGCATCATCGGTGTTAACGGGAACCATAGGCTTTAAACTAAGCAACATCGTGGCACTAAATGAAGGTGGGGAGGAAAGGGATATGAGCGTGACCGGCCCAGAAGACTCTTTTGGGTGATATGCTTTTAACGACCACGTGAAGTAGCCCCAACACGCTGCGGGCCTGGATGCCAATGAAGGTGGGGGGTTCTATGGGCTGGGCTGGGCAAGTGAAGTTCATGCGCTACAGGGCCACATATGCGCAACTGGTAAACAAGAACTGCGCTGCAGCGTCAATTGGCAAAAGGATATAAAGGCCGCTTTGGGGCATCTCCCATCCCGGTACTTCTCAGGCCGGGTCCTCACCTCCCGACCTCCAACGTCTGTATGCCTCATCTCGCGCCTGATGCTGAATGCTTATTGGTTCTCCATCCGCCAACTCCCGCTTGCCAGCCCTGGTGTGTAGCTCCGCCCAAAATCGGCACACAGTTGTAGCTCCTGAAAATGCAGTACTGGGTGCCTTCGTTGTGAAAGCTTGCCAGGTGTCGGTCCACCCAGCTGCTAGGGAAATCCCCTTTAGCAGCTCCTTGACCCACACCAAATGACTGAAAGAAGGCGTGGCGGCGTGCAGAAAGGAAGCGCGTCCGCAGCCGCCGTGCCATGTGCCACGGGCACCGCTGTGCACAGCCATGGGGCCACGGGGCGCTTCCTCTGTGGACGATATAAGCCGCTATTACTCGTTATTAAGCTGAGTCGCTTCTCGGGGCGCCCGGCGCCTCCGGACGACGTTCAGCCCCTGCTGGGGCCATTTTCGACTCATTAAGATGACCAGGACCAGGCAGGGCCGTTTCCTGCGAGGTGTAGCCCTCATCTCAATTCCTCCATCGCGGCCAGTCTTCCTGGTAGTACTTTACCTCTTTTCATCATCATGGAGGATCATATCCTTTTCCCCCCGCCTTCCTACCTCTTGCCTCCTGCGCAGCACCAGCAAGGGCCTGTCTGCTACGAATGGCAAACCCGCCAGCCCCAAGGTCACGGCGGTGGCCACCGGGGGCGGAGTCTCACCGGAGCGGCCCACATCGCATCTATCACACGGGAGCGCGGCGTCGCATTCGTACCAGGCGGTGGAAGAGGCCGTACCAGACGGAGAGCCTACGGAGGAGGACGTGGCGCGCGCGTTCGCGGTGTACGACACGGATGGCATTGGCGAGATCTCGACGCTTTCGCTGGACGGTGAGTTCGCGTGGCTGTGTTTGGGTTTATGGGTTTGGCTGGGGGGTTCATTTAGGGAACAGCAGTGGTGCCGATGCGTCAGACGAACCCCAAGCTGGGGCTAAACGAGAGGGGGGGGCGGGGGAGGGGGAGGGTGCACCCGAGAGAGGCAGGGGCGAAGAGCAGAGCATTGCTGCATTGAGGGAGACGAGTCTGGCCCCCATTTGCCCTTGAGACCCTCCAGCACAATCCACACAATTGACAGCAAGACCGGATGGCAGGGCCGGGCCGAGAGGGGCGGCTGGACGCCGTCTGTTAGAGGGTGTTTGAAGCGCTAATCGGAGATAGCCATGCATGTCCAGCCTCAGCCCGCCACGCACCTCACTTCGCGTCCCTGCCTCATCTCCTCCCTCCCACACAGTAATTTCACTCCTCCACACTGTTACCCCTGCCGCAGGCCTCCTCCGCGACCTGGGTGTGCCGCTCAACCCCAGCCAGCTGTCACAGGCAATTGCTCAGCTCGACACGTCACAAACGGGCCGCATCACGTTTGGCGAATTCTTGCTGTGGTGGAAGGGGTAAGGGGGAGGCGAGGTGGGCGACTTGGACTCGCGGCAGCCTACGGCCGCAAGCCAGCGGGGATGGCGGGACCCAGAGCCGGAGAGCTATGGCGGTTGAAACGGTTGGGGGAGCCGTCAGGGACTGCGGGCGCCTTCAGCGGGATTGCCGCTGCTGGCGGCAGCAGCGCGGGATCTGAGAACGTCGGGCGAGGCGGCGGCATAACGGTATAACGGAAGACCGTAATTTTGGGTATGTCTGTGAATGATGAGCGGGGTAAGGCCTAGATCTTGCGCTGGCGGTGTCGTCAGGCTGAAGGGAATGTGTAGGACCGTCATCCTGCCAGGCTACGTGTACTTGGGCACCCCGTGAGTCCGTTCGAAAGCGTATTGCCCTTTCGATTGCCATCAGACCAACCCGAAAGGCTAGGCTGGGGTGGGTTCAGTGCCGGGAACGTGGGCGTGGTAGTGGTGGCTGGATCCGCCATGGGCTCCACCTTACGGAGGCAGCACGCATTCCAGGGGGTACGGGTGAGGGTAAGAGTCCTAGGGTGGCCCGCCGCTGGCGGTGCGCCATGCGGGGCTGCGACATGGTGAGCTGCGCAGGGCATATGGGACGTCGTATGATGTGCGGTCCGGAGCCCTATAAGCTGTGTGGTCTAGATGATGCAACTGCCAAGGCTGCATAGTTTGCCGTCGTCAGCGTTTGCCAGGGCGGAATGACCCGTGGACAATTACACAATGCCTTTAAAGTTATTCGTGTACCATCCTTCCCAGCTTCTACCTGCGGCTCAGACCAGGAAAGCACACTGCATGGGCGGACATAAAACGCCGAAACTGAGGGGTTGTACTTATAGGGTGTGGACGGTCTATTGGCGGGGCCATTAGACCGTCTTCATGTCGGCTACAGGCGCAGGAGGTGGGGATTGCGGGGTAGGTGCGAGCCAGGTGGCAAATGGGGTTGCAATGCCGTGTCACATATCATACCATATCATCTGCCCCGTTGGGGCCCCGGGGGTTGTAGGACTATGGCCCCATGCGACCCGATATGACCGGAATGGGAAGAGAAGGCAAGACGAGGCGAAGTCGCTCGCGATGGACATGAGGAGCGATGTCGGGAGGTGTCGTTTCAGCGCTGCAGGTCCACCGAGCAGCGGAAATGCCCGCACGCTTGTGTGCTGTGCGATTGCCGACGCCTGCGTGCGTGCATGTCGCCTGTGGACGTGTGCGTGTGTGCATGTCGCCTGTGGACGTGTGCGTGTGTGTGCTGCCAGCCAAATGCTGGCTGCCGGGAGGCCGTCAACGGGCGGCATGGGCGTGGAAGCGTGGGCGCTGGTTGTGAAGACGATTAGCTGACGCTGCAGGATGACTGAATGAGCGTCTGGAAATCTTGTGTAATGCGGTGGTCGGCCTCACTGTCGGAGCTTGTGTGTTCGCCCGATACCCTGATGCGAACTCCAGCTTTATGACGTATGACGCGCACGCAGCTGGCGAATGGCAAGACGATGGCGGCAAGCCGCAGTTCTGCAAGCTTCCACGAGCGAGGCAACACTGGGAGTCGGGCGTCCTGGAGGCAGTGAAAGGTACCCGGCACTGGCTCGAGTGGTGCAGCCAGCCATCCTGGTGCTGTCGACAGGCGACACCCTTGCTGAGTCCCCAAGGATGCTGACCTGGCCCACGTTCCTAGCATTTGTCCGGGTATCCGGCGATGCCTGAGCTCCCGGATGTACCTTGCAGGAAGCCCCGCGCCTCCTATACGCAATAGGGACCTCATTTACCGACCCAGTAGATGCAAATTTGAATCCAGGACAAATTACAAAATCCAGGTATTGAGTGTCGAAAAGTTGCTTTAGGCGCATGTTGGCTCAGGGATAATGCTGGCAATTAGCGGCACGTGGCGGGGTTGGACGGCAACGGGAGGGATTACTTAGGGTTCTGCAAAGTTAGAAGCTTTCGGCATTCCCGCGAACAAGTACCTAGGATGGCATCTGCTAGAAGCCAGTTAACCCTGCGTATGCAATGACGTCGACGTCGTCGGTGACCTCTACCAGCCTCAACGGCACTGACGCTGGCGACACGCGTGGATGCAGACTGGCCAAGCTGATAATCCTTTCCCGCAGCGGTAGTGTCAAAAGAAAGTATTAACCAGACCGGTATCTGCCGCAGTACTGAGGAACCCTCTGGCCGCAGCTTGGCAACATTGCTAGGCTTAGTCATCGACATGGTCCTACATACCGGCATAAACCAAATATTTCCCCCATAACCCTGTCTGCAACCTTATGTACACCAACTTCTTATGTCCAGTATATCGTACTCAGAGACCTGAAACGTGTTGTCCTCCTGTGTCTCGACCCGTTCGGGGTCCACTGTAACAATCGCATCCTCCTGTATTGTATTGTATTGTGGTTACAGTATTTCCGCCGCCGACGCGGCGGGTGCCCTCACGAGCCGTGAAGCTCCAGAGCACGCTGTTGACGCTCATCAAAAACCTCAGTAAGGAAAGTAGCGATTTTCCTCGGATTGGTATTAAGAAATACCTTGCGCATATCAGTATCTTCAACGTTAATCAGAAACCTATTACGCAACTCAGTATACGCCTCACACTCCATGAGCACATGATATTCATCCTCAACCTTACCCGACGTACAGACCTGACACGTACGGCACTCTCTCGGCCTATGGTGTCCTTTGTTGACCTCCAAAGGCCAACAACAAAGACGGAATTTGGCAACCATACGCAACTGGTTGACCGGCAAATAAACACGCAAATAGCCTGTGGGATCGGAGCCCTCTCTTGCTGGTGAAGGGGAGCCCATCCAGTTATGATACCTGCAAAGCGAAACCCCTTTACCTTGGAACACACGCGGATCACCCCCTTGGCTGAACTGATCCCAGTCACTTAAAAGGAACGCAGATAACCTCTCCAGAACCTCACCCACTCGAATCAACTGAGACGAGTATACATCTACCTTCTGAGAAACGGAGTCACACGCCGGCCACTCATGGCCCAACCAACGCAAAATGATGAGCACTTTAGACGACCAGCAATCCACTTTGAGATCAGACAGAAGAGCCAGACGGAGATCATCTACTAACACGTCATGATAGACCGACCCAC